TGGTGACACTTGGTCACACGTGTTCTCACATGGGAACACGTGGTTAAACTTAGTCACACGTGGTCACACTTGGTCACACTTAGTCGTACGTTTTCACACTTGGTCACACTTGGTCACACGTGGTCACACTTGGTCACACGTGGTCACACTTGGTCACACTTGGTCACACTTGATCACCCGTGGTAACAAGTGGTCACACTTGGTCACACTTGGTCACACGTAGTCACACTTGGTCACTTTTGGTCACACTTGGTTACACTTGGTCATGAGTGGTCATACCTGATCACACATGGTCACACGTGGTCACACGTGGTCACACGTGGTCACACGTGGTCAGACGTGGTCACACTTGGTGACACGTGGTCACACGTGGTCACAAGTGGACACACTTGGTAACACTTGATCATATGTGGTCACACGTGGTCACACTTGGTCACACTTGGTCACACTTGGTCACACGTGGTCACACTTGGTCACACTTGGTCACACTTGGTCACACTTGGTCACACGTGGTCACACGTGGTCACACGTGGTCACACTTGGTCACACTTGGTCACACGTGGTCACACTTGGTCACACTTGGTCACGCGTGGTCATACGTGATCACACATGGTCACATGTGGTCACACGTGATCAGACGTGGACACACTTGGTCACACGTGGTCACACGTGGTCACACGTGGTCACACGTGGTCACACTTGGTCACACTTGGTCACACTTGGTCACACGTGGTCACACGTGGTCACACTTGGTCACACTTGGTCACACTTGGTCACAATTGGTCACTCGTGGTCACACTTGGTCACATTTAGTCAGACTTAGACACACTTTATCACTCTTGGTCACACGTGGTCACACGTGGTCACACGTGGTCACACTTGGTCACACTTGGTCACACGTGGTCACAAGTGGTCACACTTTGTCACACGTGGTCACAGTTGGACACACTTGGTCACACTTGGTCACACGTGGTCACACTTGGTCACACTTGGTCACACTTGGTCACACTTGGTCACACTAGGTCACACTTGGTCAAACAGGGTCACACTTGGTCACACTTGATCACACTTGGAGACACGTGGTCACACGTGGTCACACTTGGTCACACTTGGTCACACTTGGTCACACGTGGTCACACTTGGTCACAATTAGTCAGACTTAGACACACTTTATCACTCTTGGTCACACGTGGTCACACGTGGTCACACGTGGTCACACTTGGTCACACTTGGTCACACGTGGTCACAAGTGGTCACACTTTGTCACACGTGGTCACAGTTGGACACACTTGGTCACACTTGGTCACACGTGGTCACACTTGGTCACACTTGGTCACACTTGGTCACACTTGGTCACACTAGGTCACACTTGGTCAAACAGGGTCACACTTGGTCACACTTGATCACACTTGGAGACACGTGGTCACACGTGGTCACACTTGGTCACACTTGGTCACACTTGGTCACACGTGGTCACACTTGGTCACAATTGGTCACACTTGGTCACAATTGGTCACACTTTGTCACACTTGGTCACAATTGATCACACTTGGTCACACGTGGTCACACGTGGTCACACTTGGTCACACTTGGTCACACTTGGTCACACGTGGTCACACGTGGTCACACGTGGTCACACTTGGTCACACGCGTTCTCACATGGTAACACGTGGTCGCACTTAGTAACACGTGGTCACACCTGGTCACACTTAGTCTCACGTTTTCACACTTGGTCACACGTGGTCACTTGTTGTCACACTTGGTCACATGTGGTCACACTTGGTCACACTTAGTCACACTTAATCACCCGTGGTTACAAGTGGTCACACTTGGTCACACTTGGTCACACTAGGTCACACGTGGTCGCACTTGGTCACTTTTGGTCACACTTGGTTACACTTGGTCATGAGTGGTCATACCTGATCACACATTGTCCCATGTGGTCACACGTGGTCACACGTGGTCACACGTGGTCACACGTGGTCACACGTGGTCACACGTGGTCACACGTGGTCACACTTGGTCACACTTGGTCACACGTGGTCACACGTGGTCACACTTGGTCACACTTGGTCACACTTGATCATACGTGGTCACACTTGGTCACACTTGGTCACACTTGGTCACACTTGGTCACACTTGGTCACAAGTGGTCACACTTAGTAACACTTGGTCACACTTGGTCACTCATGGTCACACTTGGTCATATTTAGTCACACTTGGTCACACTTGGTCACACGTTGTCACACTTAGTCACACGTGGTCACACGTAGTCAACATTGGTCACACGTGGTCACACTTGGTTACACTTGGTCACACGTGGTCACATGTTGTCACACGTGGTCACACGTGGTCACACGTGGTCACACTTGGTCACACGTGGTCACACTTGGTCACACTTGGTCACACTTGGTCACACGTGGTCACACGTGGTCACACTTGGTCACACTTGGTCACACGTGGTCACACGTGGACACACATGGTCGCACTTGGTCACACTTGGTCACACGTGGTCACACTTGGTAACACATCATCACACTTGGTCACAGTTGGTCACACGTAAACGTGGTGACACTTGGTCACAATTGGTCACGCTTGGTCACACTTGGTCGCACGTGTTCACACATGGTCACACGTGGTCACACGTGGTCACACTTGGTCACACTTGGTCGCACTTGGTCACACCTGGTCACACTTGGTCACACGTCACACTTGGTCACACGTGGTTACACGTTGTCATAGTTGGTCACACGTGGTCACACTTGGTCACACTTGGTCACACGTGGTCACACTTGGTCACACTTGGTCACACTTGGTCACACTTGGTCACACTTGGTCACACGTTGTCACACTTAGTCACACGTAGACACACGGTGTCACACTTGGTCACACGTGGTCACACTTGGTCACACTTGGTCACACGTGGTCACATGTTGTCACACGTGGTCACACGTGGTCACACGTGGTCACACGTGGTCACACGTGGTCACACTTGGTCACACGTGGTCACACTTGGTCACACGTGGTCACACTTGGTCACACTTGGTCACACTTGGTCACACTTGGTCACACTTGGTCACACTTGGTCACAGTTGATCACACTTGGTCACACGTGGTCACACGTGGTCACACTTGGTCACACTTGGTCACACGTGGTCACACGTGGTCACACGTGGTCACACTTGGTCACACTTGGTCACACTTGGTCACACGTGTTCTCGCATGGTAACACGTGGTCACACGTGGTCACACGTGGTCACACGTGGTCACACTTGGTCACACTTAGTCGCACGTTTTCACACTTGGTCACACGTTGTCACAGTTGGTCACATGTGGTCACACTTGGTCGCACTTGGTCACACTTGATCACCCGTGGTCACAAGTGGTCACACTTGGTCACACGCTTGGTCACTTTTGGTCACACTTGGTTACACTTGGTCATGCGTGGTCATACTTGATCACACATGGTCACACGTGGTCACACGTGGTCACACGTGGTCAGACGTGGTCACACTTGGCCACACTTGGTGACACGTGGTCACACGTGGTCACAAGTGGTCACACTTGGTAACACTTGGACACACGTGGTCACACGTGGTCACACTTGGTCACACTTGGTCACACTTGGTCACACGTGGTCACACTTGGTCACACTTGGTCACACTTGGTCACACTTGGTCACACGTGGTCACACGTGGTCACACGTGGTCACACTTGGTCACACTTGGTCACACGTGGTCACACTTGGTCATACTTGGTCACACTTGGTCACGCGTGGTCATACGTGATCACACATGGTCACATGTGGTCACACGTGGTCAGACGTGGACACACTTGGTCACACGTGGTCACACGTGGTCACACGTGGTCACACGTGGTCACACTTGGTCACACTTGGTCACACTTGGTCACACGTGGTCACACGTGGTCACACTTGGTCACACTTGGACACAGTTGGTCACAATTGGTTACACGTGGTCACACTTGATAATACTTGGTCACAATTGGTCACACGTGGCCACACTTGGTCACATTTAGTCACACTTGGTCACACTTGGTCACTCTTGGTCACGCATTGTCACACTTAGTCACACGTGGTCACACATGGTCACACTTGGTCACACATGGTCACACTTGGTTACACTTGGTCACACGTGATCACATGTTGTCACACGTGGTCACACGTGGTCACACGTGGTCACACTTGGTCACACGTGGTCACGGTCACACTTGGTCACTCTTGGTCACACGTGGTCACACGTGGTCACACGTGGTCACACTTGGTCACACTTGGTCACACGTGGTCACACTTGGTAACACATCATCACACTTGGTCACACTTGGTCACACTTGGTCACACGTGGTCACACATCAACTTAATCACACTTGGTCACACGTGAACGTGGTCATACTTGGTCACACTTGGTCACGCTTGGTCACACTTGGTCGCACGTGTTCACACATGGTCACACGTGGTCACACGTGGTCACACTTGGTCACACTTGGTCACACTTGGTCACACTTGGTCACACTTGGTCACACGTGGTCACACGTGGTCACACGTGGTCACACGTGGTCACACGTGGTCACACTTGGTCACACTTGGTCACACTTGGTCACACGTGGTCACAGTTGATCACACTTGGTCACACATGGTCACATGTGTCACGTGTGTCACATGTGTCCTCCATCGCTCTCCATCCGTCTCTTTCACTCTTGACAAATCTCAACCAAGGCATGGTGGTGGTGGTCCATGGTGCTATGGCAGCAGAGATCATGTAGAGTGCATTTAGTGGGAGTGGTGGGAGAAATTAGTGGGAGAGGGAGTGCATTCAGGCCATGCGCGTGTCCCTCTCTACCCCAGTCCCCCCTCGCTGGCTCAGCTCGCTGCTGTAGTGCCGTCTGCCACTGTAACCATGCGTGCAGAGATCGCTGGCAGTACAATGCAGAAGCGGTGGCTCAGCCAGGTGTGCATTGCTCTCCTGACTCGGCTCTGCGCACTAGCGGTTGCCATGGCGGATGCATGCACATCTGTGGTTTTCGTTTTCATCTTTTAGGTCTTCCGTGGGCAACCTGTAGTTTCGTTGCCCTTTCCACATCAGCCCAAGCCCAAGCCCAAGCCCAAGCCCAAGCCCAAGCCCAAGCCCAAGCCCAAGCCCAAGCCCAAGCCCAAGCCCAAGCCCAAGCCCAAGCCCAAGCCCAGGCTCAAGCCCAAGCCCAGGCCCAGGCCCAAGCCCAAGCCCAAGCCCAAGCCCAAGCCCAAGCCCAAGCCCAAGCCCAAGCCCAAGCCTAAGCCCAAGCCCAAGCATTTTTCTTCCGTTGGGTCATGTGGCTATGTGCTTTTAAACCTATTACCAAGCCAGCAAGAATGTGGGAGGGTGGCGAGCAGGATCGGTCATTGGTATACGCGAATAAAAATTGTCTGCTGTATTTTCTGCACATGTGCGTATTCTCCTGCGTGTTGGGGATGCAAACGCTCGTTCCGAGCGTTTTTCTTCCGCTGGGTCACATGGCTGTGTGTGTTTGGACAAATTACCAAGCCAGCAAGAGTGTGAGAGGGTGGCCAGCTTGTTCGGTCATTGGTACTCGCGAATGAAAGATGCCTCATGCATTTTCTGAACTTGTGTGAATTCTTCCGCGTTTTGGGGTTGAAAACGCTCGTTCCGAACGCTTTTCTTCCACTAGGTCATGTGGTTGTGTGCTTTTGGACCTATTACAAAGCCAGCAAGAGTGTGGGAGGGTGGCGAGCATGTTCGGTGATTGGTACTTGCGAATGAAAAATGCATGCTGCATTTTCTGCACATGTGCGTTTTCTCCCGCGTTTTGGGGCTGAAAACGCTCGTTCCGAGCATATTTTCTTCCGCTGGGTCATGTGGCTGTGTGCGTTAAGACCTAACACCAAGCCAGCAAGAGTGTGGGAGTGTGGCGAGCATGTTCGGTCATTGGTATACGCGAACAAAAAATGTTTGCTGCATTTTCTGTGAGTGTGGCTGCTTGTGTTTGCCGCATGTCATTTGACTTCGCAGCTGCCTGGTCTGGCATGTGGCTGCATGTGGCGTGACTGGTTGACTTGGCAGCTACAAAAACGACCCTCTGGGTTCCTGGTTTGTCGCGTGGCTGCATTTGATTGGCCAGCAGCAGGCCCACTAGATTCTGCTGTACAAGGTCGGCCCACTAGATTCTGCTGTATAGCCTATTGGTACCTACAAAGTGTTTATATTATTGAACATTTTTTTACTGCATCAGCTACCAGCGTGCTATGCAATCATGTACACCTGTTTACATTATGATACAGTGGGAAACTTACAAGCAACTTAGACTGCAACACATTGTGGCAGAGTACGATACGTGCAGAGGGTGACCGTGCTGTATAGGACTAGGCCAAAAATTAATGTGCAATACTGCCATTCCAATGAGGTAGGGTTGGATCAGGGCTTCAGATTCGTTTTGGGCCACCCTTAGTAATCAGGGTTCTAAGTATAATCAACCCTCATTTGTAGGGTAATTTTTTCTTTCCCTGACAAATTCAGGGTAAAAAAAAAAACTATAAGTCTGTTTGGGCAAGGTAATTTTTTTGGTACACATGATTTATCCAGTTCAACGCTTACTGCCTCAGTTGGTACGGTTACGTTTTTTATTTGTAAGTTCGCATGTTCTATTTTAGCTGTTGGAAGTATTTTGCAGGGGCCCGTATAGTGTTTCGTCTCGCTACGAAGCATTCGGTATCAGTATAACTGTGATCGTACCCTGTACAGTCAGAGAAATAAGTTCTTTACCCTGTTTTTCGAAGGGTAAAAAAAACTTACACTTTCTAGCCTAGGATAAAAATCCCATTACCCTTCCTGGAAAAGGGAAACAAAAAAAAAAAAAACGGCAACCAGAAAGGGCAAAAGGGGTATTTTACCCTGATAACGAGAGCCTTGTGCTGGATATCCTACTGCAGCCAGTTTAGACTGGCTTAAGTTGACTCTCTTAGGGCGTATTCCTACGACCTCCTATCAAGAATCCTCCTATCAAGAATGTAGTTTGACATCGTGTACGTTTTAAAACGCCAGTTATCAAGATTGGAATGATTGAGCGAACCAATAGAAATGGTCGCAGGGTGTCGCGTGAACGTGATGACTTCCCGGAACACGGTTCCCTGTAACGAACAGACGTCAGGCCAGGGTATGCGGCAGTCACCAATTCGTGCCATGCTGGACGATGTGGCGGTCGTGCGCTGCGCGCGAACGTGCACGGAATGCAAATTTTGGGAGGAATTTTCACACCTGGCGCCACGCGACACGTATACCACCCCCAGCACGTCAAGCACTTCACGAGCCCTCTCATCCAAACACACATGACACAGAGCACCCAACTCGCCATCATGCTCTCTATACATTGGTAGCTCCCATTCCTTGGCACGCAAAGCACCGTACATCCAACAACATGGCCCGAAAGCGTAAAGCCAGGCAGACGAACAATCATGGCGTCCGGAGGATCTTGCATATGTGGCGTGGATGAACGCCGAACTCGCGAATGGTAGACCCACTGCAAAGCCGTTGCGCAATGTGGGCCAGCCCCCCACGAAGTCACCCATCACACCTCGCGCCACGCCCGGGACCAGTAATGTCGGTCTGCAAGTCGACTATGACACTGACGAGGACGACACGGACAAGGACACAGCGGATGGCGACGACGACGAGGATTTCGAGTTCGAAGAACCGGACGAGGCGTGGTGCGGCGACGCGGAATATAGTGGCCCGCGTGATGATCGCCCCGTGGCGCCGGCCGCGGCAGCAGAGAAACGAGGCTCCAGCAGCCGCGTCGAGGCTCGCGGGAAGGGAAAGGGCAGTCACCCTGCTGGCGCGAAGAATGCCGACTGTTTGGGCACAGGCCCGAAATCGGAATGGACGGCCAAGGAGTCCACCATATTGTGCGCCGCGCGATGGTTCACCAAGGAGGAGTTGAACCAAATGACGGGAAAACAGGGGTCGCAGTATTGGTTGCGCCTCATCGAACACATTAAGAAGCAGCATCCCGATTGGTGCAGGAATGCCACCGCCTGCGTCAATCAGTGGAAGCGACTTAAAACGCTGTGGAATCAGATCGAGATCGGGGATTCGGCATCTGGAGGCGGAACGGTGATAAAGCCTCCGTGGTGGCAGTGGATGGTGCTGTTCTACGAAGACACTGCTGCAGCCGAGCCTCACGCTCTGGATGGTGGCGGTGCAGTTAACGTGACAGTGGACCCTGGCGTCAAGGTTCCAAAGCCGCCGACTACTGCTGCCACAACAACGCCTGGTATGTGTGTTGAATGCTATGCCAATTTATAGCAAGTTGAAAATCCGAGCGTGTTAAAATTCGGAATGTTATGTAATGTCGCTTACACCACAACAGAATGACTGCTTGTGCTGCTATCACACCTCTATCCCGTAACCCTTCCCGCTCTTATCCCTAGTTCGTAACACCCCGCCCAGTGCACGACGCGGTATTAATGAGACGGCGACCATGGCAGCTGCTCAACTGTTGGCCGACACATTCACAAGGTGCTCCCAGGAAGGCGTATCACAAATCACCGGAGTGATACGCGAGTGGATGGCCTCCCAACAGTCAACAACAAGCCGTCCCCTCAACTTTGGAAGCAACCCAGCGGATGAATCAGGGCCGACCGGCGACAATGTCGACGTCGCTGATGAAGTCACTGACGACGTGGAGGTGTGGCATCGCCGCTCCGACGTCGCTTAAGGTATTCCACATGCAGCGCCTCCCCGAGCCTCTTCCTCCTCTCCTTGAGATCGTGTCTAGTGACGGCAAGATCGGCGCACCAATTATACCGTGCAAGTTCTCCTCTCGTCCACCATGGGTCTTGGTTGATCAGCCGCGCAGCCCACGTGTGATTGATTGTTCTCATCCTGGAAGTTGCCATCTTGATCCCCATGTTGTGCAGTATGACAACACAGCTGGCGCCTGCAAGGACCCGCCATAACGCGCACTTGTGACGGCCGGCAAATAGGCGGTACCGTCCTTTCAGCGCACCTATGGTTCGCTCCACGGGCATGCGAGTCGCGGACTGGCAGTAATTGAAGGTCTGCTCCCACTCGAGCATGAGGCGGCCAGTGGGAGCATGCAATGGCGTCAAGCAGTAGCTACGGAGCGGGTAGGCGGCGTCTCCTACCAGCTGGTACGGTGCGAGGTCACCTGTTTGTAGTCGCTCGTAGAGGCTAGACAGGACGAACACCCGCTGGTCATGGGCGGTGCCTGGATAGCCTATTAGGTAATCCCAGATGGTTCCTTTAGCGTCGCATGTCACTTGTAGCTGCACGGCATATTGTGATTTTCGCGTGTAATATTCTGCCCGATGCCCCTCCATCCCCCGAATCTGGACATGTGTGCCGTCAATAGCACCTACAACCATTGGCACCCCTTTAATACTCCGGAACTCTTCCGCCATGTCACGCATTTCATCCTGTGTCGGGAAACGTACCCAGGCCGCCTTGAACACGGTGGGAAAGTTTAAGAGGAAGAGGTCTACGAGGTGATGGCATAGGGTTTTTGGCACACCGAACCAGAAATCGAGGTCCACGTACGCCATCGCGCTTGCGAAATACTTGATTGGTATGAGCACGGCCACTGTAATTGGAATGCAATGGCGCTGGATGACGGGGTTGAGCACGTGAGCCATTCCTTGGCATACGTATTCCAGAATAGCGCGATTAATGCGGAACAGGTCGATGAACATCTCCTCGGGCATGGTCGCCATTTCGTCCTCCCACACGCCTAAGCGGCGCCGCCGTAAGCTTCGGTTTCGAGCACGTAATTCACTCCTTGTCTCTACGATGGTATCTTCTTCCGCATTGCTTATCTGCTCGAGAAACTTCATGCAAGACTGGATGGCACTATTTAGGAATGTGTCGTAATAAAAGGCGTGCCATACTATTAACAACCTAGGCAGGAAAGGAACGTCCGTCATAGTCGGGAGTGGTAGGCACGATTGGCAGGATTGCCGTAAGCTGCGAGTGTTTGTACTATTTCTACGAATACACGTGAGGTGGTGGCGTGCATGGGCATGTGTTTGCGAGATGTTTGTTGACTTGTCCCCTTGGCACACTACGTGCTTACGTGGTGCTTTTTTTATTTTAACCGGAGCGCCTGATCAAGCTGGGTCGCAGCGTGCCACATCAGCGTTTGTTTTGGGTCGCACATGTGGGGAAACCGTCAAGTTTTGTTGATAGGAGGTTGCGCGAGCTTGCAAATTTACAGGCGAGAACTACATTCTTGATAGGAGGATTCTTGATAGGAGGTCGTAGGAATACGCTCTTAGACTTGTCTTCCCTCTGCTCCTCTCCTCACCGAGCCTTGGCTAATTTTGCCATGTGTCGCTAGAACCCTTCTCTAGCGAGTAGTGCAGAACCAAAAGCAGCATAGTAGTGCAGAACCAAAAGCAGCATTAATGTTGCCTGATGGGGCCACAGGCACTCCCATCACTCTCTCCCTTATATGTGGGGTTGCCTGCGCCTCCACCTGCTGTGTACACCCGTTTCAGTGGCGGCGACGCTCCCAGGTCAGCCAATAACGAGTATGCCCTGGCCTGGTCGGGTAGATTGGTTGGGAAGAGGAGTGGGTCGCGTGCAGATGTGATGTGGTGTTGCATGCTCCATTGCAGTAAAAGTGTTTGTCGAAGAGCATCTGCCTGTAGCAAGACAGTAAAGATTGGGGAAATCATGGGAAAAGGAAGTGGGGAGAAGACTCTCACCTCGATGGTGGCTATGGACTCGAATGCCATGTAGGAAGAGAGCGTCGTCAGCAGGGCGAGGAGTCAAGCTGCACGGAGCAAGAGAGGAAAGGTGTGAATTATCCAATTCAGAGACAATCCAGTGAGGCTGGATGTGCGATGAAATGCCATGACTGGAGGCACAAGGACAAGACCATACGGCAGCTAGGTATGAATCCGAGCCTGCGCACTCACCAAGGCTGCAGGTCAGGGTCAGACACAGGGAACCCCTCCCCAGGTCGTGTGAGTTGGTAGTAATCAAGTTTGCTCTCTACACTCGGGTCTATTTTTGCACTCAGCTTCCGCAACTCCTCGTCTGTGAAATACCCCCGCAGCACTGCGCCGCCCGGATCCGACGCCCCGTCGACTAGCCACTTTCATTATTTGTCCTCTTCTGCCGCACCTTCCTCCTCCGCCTCCCCCTCGTTCTCCACCCCGGGCGGCGCCGAATCTCCGGGCGGCAAGCGGTGGCTGTATACGCCGAAACGTGCATCGTCGATTCGTGCAGTGCTGACGACGAGCTTGACGGCGAGGGTAGACCCGAGCGAGGTGACGGCATACCCGGGGGTAGTTACCCTCGCAGCCAGGAAGGCGACAATGCAATCAGACGGGAGGGCTGCAGGGAGGGAGGGAGGGGGGAGGGGAGGGAGGGAGGGAGGGAGAAGTGGAGATGGTGAGTGTGAGATGGTGAGTGTGAGATGGTGAGTGTGAGATGGTGAGTGTGAGATGGTGAGTGTGAGATGGTGAGTGTGAGATGGTGAGTGTGAGATGGTGAGTGTGAGATGGTGAGTGTGAGATGGTGAGTGTGAGATGGTGAGTGTGAGATGGTGAGTGTGAGATGGTGAGTGTGAGATGGTGAGTGTGAGATGGTGAGTGTGAGATGGTGAGTGTGAGATGGTGAGTGTGAGATGGTGAGTGTGAGATGGTGAGTGTGAGATGGTGAGTGTGAGATGGTGAGTGTGAGATGGTGAGTGTGAGATGGTGAGTGTGAGATGGTGAGTGTGAGATGGTGAGTGTGAGATGGTGAGTGTGAGATGGTGAGTGTGAGATGGTGAGTGTGAGATGGTGAGTGTGAGATGGTGAGTGTGAGATGGTGAGTGTGAGATGGTGAGTGTGAGATGGTGAGTGTGAGATGGTGAGTGTGAGATGGTGAGTGTGAGATGGTGAGTGTGAGATGGTGAGTGTGAGATGGTGAGTGTGAGATGGTGAGTGTGAGATGGTGAGTGTGAGATGGTGAGTGTGAGATGGTGAGTGTGAGATGGTGAGTGTGAGATGGTGAGTGTGAGATGGTGAGTGTGAGATGGTGAGTGTGAGATGGTGAGTGTGAGATGGTGAGTGTGAGATGGTGAGTGTGAGATGGTGAGTGTGAGATGGTGAGTGTGAGATGGTGAGTGTGAGATGGTGAGTGTGAGATGGTGAGTGTGAGATGGTGAGTGTGAGATGGTGAGTGTGAGATGGTGAGTGTGAGATGGTGAGTGTGAGATGGTGAGTGTGAGATGGTGAGTGTGAGATGGTGAGTGTGAGATGGTGAGTGTGAGATGGTGAGTGTGAGATGGTGAGTGTGAGATGGTGAGTGTGAGATGGTGAGTGTGAGATGGTGAGTGTGAGATGGTGAGTGTGAGATGGTGAGTGTGAGATGGTGAGTGTGAGATGGTGAGTGTGAGATGGTGAGTGTGAGATGGTGAGTGTGAGATGGTGAGTGTGAGATGGTGAGTGTGAGATGGTGAGTGTGAGATGGTGAGTGTGAGATGGTGAGTGTGAGATGGTGAGTGTGAGATGGTGAGTGTGAGATGGTGAGTGTGAGATGGTGAGTGTGAGATGGTGAGTGTGAGATGGTGAGTGTGAGATGGTGAGTGTGAGATGGTGAGTGTGAGATGGTGAGTGTGAGATGGTGAGTGTGAGATGGTGAGTGTGAGATGGTGAGTGTGAGATGGTGAGTGTGAGATGGTGAGTGTGAGATGGTGAGTGTGAGATGGTGAGTGTGAGATGGTGAGTGTGAGATGGTGAGTGTGAGATGGTGAGTGTGAGATGGTGAGTGTGAGATGGTGAGTGTGAGATGGTGAGTGTGAGATGGTGAGTGTGAGATGGTGAGTGTGAGATGGTGAGTGTGAGATGGTGAGTGTGAGATGGTGAGTGTGAGATGGTGAGTGTGAGATGGTGAGTGTGAGATGGTGAGTGTGAGATGGTGAGTGTGAGATGGTGAGTGTGAGATGGTGAGTGTGAGATGGTGAGTGTGAGATGGTGAGTGTGAGATGGTGAGTGTGAGATGGTGAGTGTGAGATGGTGAGTGTGAGATGGTGAGTGTGAGATGGTGAGTGTGAGATGGTGAGTGTGAGATGGTGAGTGTGAGATGGTGAGTGTGAGATGGTGAGTGTGAGATGGTGAGTGTGAGATGGTGAGTGTGAGATGGTGAGTGTGAGATGGTGAGTGTGAGATGGTGAGTGTGAGATGGTGAGTGTGAGATGGTGAGTGTGAGATGGTGAGTGTGAGATGGTGAGTGTGAGATGGTGAGTGTGAGATGGTGAGTGTGCGATGGTGAGTGTGAGATGGTGACAGTGAGATGGTGAGTGTGAGATGGTGAGTGTGAGATGGTGAGTGTGAGATGGTGAGTGTGAGATGGTGAGTGTGAGATGGTGAGTGTGAGATGGTGAGTGTGAGAGCCAATGAGGGAGCCAGGCGGGCGGCAGCGCGAGTAGCTCTGTCACATGCACGTCCGTTGCTCCACACAGCTGCACCAGCAGCCAATCCACCTGATGCACCATCACCACCTCCCCCTCTCCCTCCCCTCCCCCTCCTCCTCCACCTCTTCCCCCTCTCTCCTCCTCCCCACTCCCCTCACCCTTCTCCCCCACCTCCCCCTCCTCCTCAACCACCACGTCATCAGCTTGCACAGCGTGGACGTGCCAACTGTCGCCGTGTGATTGGCCGGCGCCACTGCTGCCACGGCAGCCACGGCCTCTGGGCTGCCCGCCTCGTTGTACATCATGGGGCACGGGCTTGCGGGTGGACCTGGGGTATGGGATGGGGGGAAAGAGTCAATCAGTGTATTGAGTCAGACTGGTTGCCTGCCTGCCTCCGCACTGCCCGCCTCGTTGTACATCATGGAGTCATGGGCTCGCAGGTAGAGGTGATAAAAGGAAGAGATGGAAGAGGCGAGAGAGAGGTAGAGCAACAGTTGATCAGTTCTTTGTACTGAACTGCCTGCCTGCAGCACCACACTGCACCACATTGCACCATGGGCTGCCCGCCTCATTGTACATCTTGGGGCAGACCAAGGGCTCGCGGGTGGTGCTGGTGAACGGAGGAAGAAATGGGAAAGAGGGGGAGGGATGGGGAGTAATAGTCAATCACTCTCTTGAATAGGACTGCCTGCCTCCCTGCCTCCGGGATTCACTGCACCGCACTGCACCCATGCAGATGCTCTCTCAACAGCTGACCACCATGGTGGTGGCGGTCGTGCCGTCCAGCACCATGCCACCTGCACCGCAATGCACCCATGCAACACTGACCCATACCGCACTGCACCGCTCTCACTGGCTGACGACCATGGTGGTGGCGGACGTGCCGTCCAGCGACACTGCCGCCACTCGCCGCCTCAGCTCCTCGGGAATGTCGCGCAACAGTCCAAACAACGCCGCCCGCCACCCTCCGCTGCTGACATGTCACTGTCCGGGTCGGTGGTGCCGCTCACTGCTGACTCGGATGCTGACTCAGCATGGGCGGCAAGAGGGTACTTTCTCTTGACGTCAAGAAGATTGGCTGCGTTGCCATCAATAACGACAGCACGTGCCCCGGACGTGCCGAAATCAAATCCCAGGAAAAGAGGGGATGATTCAGCTGCTGATGTGGACGCGCACACCAGGATGGCGCTGCCAGGTTGCCGGACATGTGGCATTGCCGTGAAGCTGCCACGTGGCAGCAACTTCCCAGATTGGCCGTCAACAAACAGGCTGCTCAGGCGGCTCTTCTGTGATCGGCTTATCCCCGTCCGCCAATAAGGTTGCTCCACGTGGCGATTTGAGGCGCATTGCCCTCCCACGGTCTTGCTGATCGCTGTGGAGGCGAGTGCAACGTTGTTGTGACTAAAACGGTGGGTCGCATTCTGGTTCCGAGTGTGACTGTGGAGGAGAGTGCGGCCGAGAGTGAGAGTGTGAGCGTGAGTGCAGCGGGATCCAAAGCGCGCGGGGGTCGAGTCGAGGCAGGGTGCGAGCGTCCACACCCTCGCTCTTCTCCTTCCTCCGCTGCGCATTTCGCCGGAGTTGCGAGGCTAGCCGCCACACGACGGCCCTCTCTGCTCTCAGCCTCCTCAATCATCGTGGACGCTGAGAGAGTATATGCCCTTCTCTATAATCACAATGCGTGACTTGGGCACCTTCACTTTTCTGCAAGGGAGGGAGTGGAGTGAGATGGTGTCGAGAAGGGTGGGGTGAGGTTGGACAAGAGCTACAATCATGCGATACTGTTTCAGGACCTTTAATTCTCTGAAGGAGATGAAACGGTAAGGGTGTGAGATAGTTTTCGAAAGGAGCTGTCCCCTTCAACCCTGTCCAAGGGAGCCTGCCTCACCTCACTCACTTGCACGCACCCCTCTCTCACTTCCTTTCCTCCTCACCTTCTCTTCTTCCTCACCTGAACCCCACTCACTTGAAGTGTCTGCACCCGCACTGCGCGTGCGACCCTGTCCCATCCCAGGGAGCATGCACCTATCTCACAGACTCACACTCACATGCATGCACCCATCTCTCAATTCCTCCTCACCAGAATCCCACACGCGTGCTGCACTTGAAGTCGTGTATTGGCACCTGCACCGCGCACCCCTGTCCCAGGGAACCTATCGTCGTCTTACACACTTGTCTCGCAACTTCAACATTCTCCCCACCTGAACCCCACTCGCGTGCTGCACTTGGAGTCGTATGTCCGCACCTGTACCGCGCGCCCCTCCCTCAGCCCCTGCAGGTTGCTCAACAGCAGCTCATAGTCCGTGATCCGCGCGTCTGAAAAAGGAAAACATAACATAGGGTATGGTGGAGATATACCCCCAAAAATTGCTCGGAAGTGATCTTTCGCCCCCTGCAGGTTGGTCAGCAGCAGCTCGTAGTCCGTGATCCGCGGGTCATGGGAAAAAATAGGGAGTAGCGTGATGGAGAGGTACCCATGTATGCGTCACAGAGCACAACTCTGACCTTACCCGAATCAGCAATACACCTGACAGAATTCTTCATCCTTCTACATTCATTACCTTGGGAATACCGTGCACGCGGTTTCTGGGGTTTCAGGGCCGCAGAATGGCGCGTGGGCGTACCTTAGCGCTGCAGGCCGTTTTGCCGGCATGCGAGAGGGGTGCTGCAGGCCGTTTTGTTGGCGCCAGAGGGGCCTGCGCCGCAAGTCCCACCAGCACCATGCCTTGGTTGCTCTGCCAAGGCAGGCACGTATGGGCGGGAGGTACGGGAGAGAGGTATGGGATAAAAGTAAGGGAGGGAAGAATGGGAGGAAGGTATCGGAAGCATGTGTGGGAAGGAGGTGAGATAAGGGGGTGTGGGAAGGTGCATGTGAGGGAGGCACGGGAGGTGAGGGAGTTAGGGAGGTGTACGGAGGCTGGTACGTGAACTCGAAAGCTGTGAGACGGCGGGGACCCACAGAAGCCCTTTCTGGGAGCGAGGAGGCGGCAGCAACTACGTCGGCGAGACCCGCAACGCCGTCGGCTGACGCTAGCGATGAGGTCAGCTGCCGTGGTTTTGCCGAGATTCGGGATTTTGATGGCTCCATACAACCCCTCCCCATCCTGCTCTTCCTCCTCTTCCTCCTCTTCCTCCTCTTCCTCCTCTTCCTCCTCTTCCTCCTCTTCCTCCTCTTCCTCCTCTTCCTCCTCTTCCTCCTCTTCCTCCTCTTCCTCCTCTTCCTCCTCTTCCTCCTCTTCCTCCTCTTCCTCCTCTTCCTCCTCTTCCTCCTCGTCGTACAACCCCGCTCTCTTATCATCCTTTTCCTCATCCATCCCTTCAACATCAAGTCCTGCCCCTCCCCTCTCAGTCCCCTCGTCTACCTCGCCATCCTCGTCCACCTCGCCATCCTCGTCCACCTCGCCATCCTCGTCCACCTCGCCATCCTCGTCCACCTCGCCATCCTCGTCTACCTCGCCATCCTCGTCCACCTCGCCATCCTCGTCTACCTCGCCATCCTCGTCCACCTCGCCATCCTCGTCCACCTCGCCATCCTCGTCCACCTCGCCATCCTCGTCTACCTCGCCATCCTCGTCTACCTCGCCATCCTCGTCCTCCCGCCCATCCTCCCGCCCATCCTCCTGCTCCCCTTCTCCTTCTCGCTCCTCCTCGTCCCCCTCCTCCCTTACTGTCCCACGTCCTCCGTCAGCTCTGGGGCTCTCGTTATAGTCACTGCCTTCCTCGTCCACCCCTTTTCCGTAAGTCCCTTTTCAATTTCACCTTCCTCACCCTCTGCCTCCTCACCCTCTGCCTCTTCACCCTCTGCCTCTTCACCCTCTGCCTCCTCACCCTCGTCCCCTCGGAACGCATCAGCTTTACCACCACGGCCAAGCAGAGAAGACTCAACCCATCCTCACTCCTCTCGATACCTTCGGGTTCTTCCCTTTCCTCCTCGCTTTGCATCTCCCCTTCGCCATCCCCATACATATCCCCCCCCCTCCTCGCTCTGCATTTCCCTTTCCTCCTTGTCATTAATACCATGTGAAACGGATTACCTCCAGGTAACGATTCGGAGATTAGACTAGCAGACCGATGAGGAGCCTCAAGAGGGTGCGTCTCCTCTGCCTGTGGGAGTGCAGGCAGAGGAGACGATTCGTCGAGATTCGTTATGATCACAGCCAAGACGAACCATGCGAAACGGATAACGAGTTGGAGATTAATCTAGCGGGAAGAGGATGACCGTCGAACGTCTCTTTCGCTCCGCGGATCCTTGATATGGTAGTTGCGCTGATCCGTCAAGCCAATGATTGCGCTGATCGCTGATTGCTGCGCTGATTGCTGCGCGGACAGTTGCGCCAGTAGTTTCGCGAATCGCTGCTCTGATGGTTGCGCCGATCGTTGCGCTGACCGTTGGGTTGATTGCGGCGCTGATCGTTCCGCTGCTTGCGCTACTAGTTGCACTGATATTGCGCTGATCGTTGCACTGAACGTTGCTCTAATCGTTGCACACCTCTCCCGAAGTGACTCACCGAGCTTCTAAGAATGACAAACGTATCACTGACGACCCTCATCACCTAGTCTCAGTTCATTATCAGTATATATGACCTCCGTCGAATCTTTGAAGTCACTAAGGTGTCTAAGTTGTTGCAAACTGCACAGCAGAGTAATCTAGTTTCTTTCACGACAGAAGTCTGTTCAAGGTACCAGGTGCGTATTCATACGAAGGTTGAAAAGTAACAAACACTAAAAAATAGAGAGCTACAAGTCAGATACAAGAGTCGTTGCTAAGCTATCTAAGCTCCTAAGCCAAGTGTAAACAGCTCCACTTGAGCCTCGGCACCAGCGCCTCGACTCCAAAGCAGCTTGACCGTCTTCTCAACTTCTTGTCTTCTTGGCCATCTCCAAAGCAGCTCCACTTGCGCGTCCCACAAGCAGGGGCAGCTTGAAAGTCTTCTTGACCCATCTTGGCCGTCAGAGGCAAATGCCCCTGACGTTACACCCACGCACCACGATGAGGTGAGGGTCAATCGCGTGGGGCCTGCTTGGGAGGGAGGGAAGGGGGGGAGGGGGGGGGAGAGCTTGGGAGGGGGGGAAACGGTTAAAATTAGTGACGGGCAGATGAAAATAAACACCTCGAATTTGCCGATAGGTTCCCCCTTGATTGTTGACGGTGTGTTGTCAGAATGACGGCCAGCCGTCAAGAGGACGACCAGCCGTCAAGAGGCACACCTGAACCCATACAACCGCCCGTGTGTGTGCCTAAATCGAGTGCCTAGGCTAACGCTCCTACTCGTTCTGTACCCACTAGCACACCTCTTACAGGCCTGGCGCTTGCGCTGGTTGCTCTCGCTTGCGCTGGTTGCTCCCGCTCCCGCCGAATCTGTCAGAAAGGGCGGGACGGGAGGGGAAGTCAAATTCCACCTCGCTCCTTGCTCCTTGCTCCTCGTGTTCCGATGTCCCGCCGCGCGCGCGTCACGCCTCCCCCGAAGAAGCGTCGCCACGCGATCCCGCGACGCGAGCTCCCATCCCCGCTTCGCCTGCGCAAAGAAGAACGCACACAAAATAAAGTTAGTTTCATAATCAAAGAAAAGACTCAACGAAATGAAGACGGCACTTACCAGGCAAGGGAGACCACCTCCCCGCGTTACCTCCATTGCTCGCCGCTGTCCCCGCGAGCTCCCACTGCCGCTTTAGCTGCGCTAAGAGAAAGGAACACACAGAAAAAAAAAAGTTTCATAATCAAACAAGAAACTTAACGAATTCGACGGCACTTACCAGGCAAGGGAGACCACCTCCCGCGTTACCTCCTTTGCTCGCCGCTGTCCCCGCGAGCTCCCTCCTTCCGCCGCTCCTGCACTAAAGACGGAGCAGACAAGAAGTTTAAACCAGGAAAAAACAAAAGCAGGAAATTGAAACTAAGACTTACCACGAGAAGGAAGTCCCCTCCCCGCGCTTTACCTCCCCCGTCTCCGCCGGCGCCGCGAGCTTCCCTCCCGGTACCGCCGCTCCTGCACTAAGACGGAACAGACAAGAAGAAGTTAAAACCTTCAAAAACAAAATCAGGAAATTGAAACTGATACTTACCACGAGAGGAGAAGGCTGCAGCCGTAGTCCCTTGTCGCCGCCAGCGCCATTTGCTCCCCCTCCCGCTCCTCCTGGCTGCACTAAGACGGAAGCACACGAAAAGAAGTTAAACTCAGGAAGAAAACGAAAGCAGGAAACGGAAAGTGATACTTACCACGTTGACGTTGCCGCTAAGAGCAGAGAGAAGCGCCGTGAGTCCCGCCGTGAGACACGCCTCTCGCCCGCGAGACACGTCGTGCGACCGCGACCGAAGAAGCGTCGCCGTGCCTCGAGCCATGCGTCCCCACGCATCGTCATCCGTCCGTACGCCGGCTGACGGCCCGCTTCTGCAAGTCGTTGAGAAGGAGAAGGAGAAGGAGAATCAGAAACGAAACCGTCGAGAATCTGCTGAAATCAGAACGAAAAGAAGTCCCTTGTCGCCGCCAGCGCCGTTTGCTTCCCCTCCCGCTCCTCCTGGCTGCACTAAGACGGAAGCACACGAAAAGAAGTTAGACTCTGGAAGAAAACGAAAGCAGGAAACCGGAAGTGATACTTACCACGTTGACGTTGCCGCTAAGAGCAGAGAGAAGCGCCGTGAGTCCCGCCGTGAGACACGCCTCTCGCCCGCGAGACACGTCGTGCGACCGCGACCGAAGAAGCGTCGCCGTGCCTCGAGCCACGCGTCCCCACGCATCGTCATCCGTCCGTACGCCGGCTGACGGCCCGCTTCTGCAAGTCGTTGAGAAGGAGAAGGAGAAGGAGAATCAGAAACGAAACCGTCGAGAATCTGCTGAAATCAGAACGAACCAAATGTAAAAAGAATCAGAACACGCTACCTCAGCTTGGCCGAAGAGAGATCCGCGCGACGGACGAAGTGACGCCCCCGCTTGTGTCGGTAGAGGCCTCGTCGCTGACGGTAGAGCGACGGAAAACCCACCAAGCGACGGCAGGGAGAAGCGCCGCCAGCGCCGTGAGTCCCGCCAAAGGACCGTCGCCATAAGGCATTCCTCTCCATTCGTCGCCGTCGCCATACGTCGCCGTGTGTCGTGCGCGTCGGATCTGCTGGAAAGCAAGTCGACGCGTTAGAATGTAGGCAAATCAAAATAAAACTGAAGCTGCCAAGACGTGTTAAGAACGGATCGCTCACAATAACTCAGCTCGAGCGAGGCCGTCACCGCCCCCTCGCGACGTGAGACAGTAGAGTCTTCGTCGCCGTCACGCGACCAAGACGGTCGCCAAGACGGTCGCCAAGACGGTCGCTAAGACTGTCGCCCAGATCAGCGGCAGGGACAAGGCAGCACGTACTTCACTCACGGGTAGACTTATAACGAGAAAGGCGGCACAACGGGTAGACTTCACTCACCCCAGCTTGAACCAAAGTTTGACGCATCTCGGCGCATCGTGGCGAGGTCGAGGTCGAGGCGCCATCGCCGTCGCATCTCCTGCGATTGATAGCATCGGATGTTTCAGCTTCAAGTCTTCGAGTGGGCCGTTTTCGGTCTGCAGGGAAAAGGCAGCAGGGAAAGGAAAAAGGTAACTTATAATTCATATAATAAGAGCTGAATCAAGGAAACGTATAGCTGAATTTCGTCAACTGAGAAGACGAAGGAAAGCTACTACTATTCACTTACCCAAGCCAAACGACAAGGATCTTCACCCGAAGGGCTTCGCGACTCGCATTTGGGCCAACGGCGATGGTGACAATCGGCGATCATCACTTGGGCTTGAGTGCGTCCACTCGTCAGCCTTCGTGTTGGAAGATATCGCCAGTCCGGAGCTTGAAGCATCCCGCGATTGAAGTGCAACCCGCGTTTGAAGCGCCTTCCCGACTTAGGCTCCAGGTCCGACTTGAAGCAAAGGTCGCCACGAGGTCTGCGGGAAAAAAGCAACAGGTTAGTACAATGCTAAAAGCTTAAGAACTGAACTGGCCAAAAAGCGTTACAGGAAGAAGCCGAAAAACGCTGCACTTACCTCAGGTCTTAACGACGCTTCAGGTCTTAACGACGGCGCTTCAGAGCTTCAGTCGAAAAACGCTGCACTTAGCGTCGGCGCTTCAGGTCTTAACGACAGCGCTTAACGACGGCGATCGTTGCTGCGTCGTCGCTTTCGAATGGCCATCTTCGGACGGTCGCCGAGGCCTGAAAACGAAGAGGCAACAGATTAGTACTTTAGACAGAGCACCAAAGTTACTGAAAGGCGAGTGAGAAAGGGAAAGTTAATTAGAAGTTAAACTGTCAATGGTACACGTACCCCGATTTGGCCGACCTGTCCGCCGTTGGCGACGGCAATTTGAACGCGATGATCGGCGAGACTTCCGGTTGGGCTTCAGGCTGGGCCAATCGGTTCAAACTTCTAACTTCAGGTCCCGTTCGTAGAAGCTTGAGCTTGACGTCTCCAGGAAAACAAGGAACGCGGTAGAAGTATTCTCAGACGCACGTCAAACGGTGGAAATCAAACAATTCAGAACGTAACAAAACAATGACGAAGTTGAAGAGAAATTACCGTCTCCGTGTAGGAAGGTCGGAGGAAGGTCGCACCTTGAATCAGCATCTTAAACCCGTTGAAGAAATTTGAAGCTGAAGCTCTTTCCGAGACGAGCTTGGAGCGAAGACGCGACTCGCATCCGGAGCTCGGGCCAACGGCGATGGTGACAATCCGAAGCTCACTTGGGCTTGAGGTTGGGCTCATCAATTGGGCTTCAGGTTGGGCTTGAGTGAGCTCGAAGCGCCAGCGACGGTAGATGCTCTCATCCGGTTTTGAAGTGCGACCAGAAACGGATAAGGAGGTCGTCTGCAGAAAAACGAAAAGCGAGTTAAAAAGGTGAAAAGGATTTAAAAAGAAGTCGAACTATTTTTGCGGATCTGGAAAACAAAAAAAATAGTCCTTACCTCTACTCAATAGTCATTGTGTTGGAAGACTTTGCAGGTGGAGCTTGAAGATATCGGATCTTCACACCAAAGATATCGCCGGTCCGGAGCTTGAAGCATCCCGCCATTGAAGTGCAACCCGCGTTTGAAGCGTTTTCCCACTCGACCGTCTCCGTGTTGGTGACGGGGAAGAGACCGCAGCGACTTCCCTTGGAGGCAGCGACGGGGGTGGCCGCGAAGCTCTCTTGTAGATCTTATCGGCGACACTCCATGTCTCGCCAAGACGGTCGCCACGAGGTCTGCGGGAAGAAAAGCAACATGTTAGTTCCTGAACAATGTTAAGAAGCTTAAGAACTTAACTGGCCAAAAACGGTTACAGGAGGAAGTCGAAAAAATTTGCACTTACCCCACTCGACCGGCGAAGACCTCCGGGGAGCGACAGTGAAGGCCGACATGGTCTTTTCGGTTGCGAGACTTGTCTTCCCCGCAGAAGCGACGGGGGAAGGTCGGCAACAGCAACTGGAAGCTGAAGCATTTGAAGTTGAATCTCTGGCCGAGACGAGCTTGGAGCGGAGACCCCGTTGCGATTTTTTCGCCGTAGAAATCCTTGGCGTGGAGATATTGCAGAGATGATCCTGGCTGCGTCGGCGCTCTGATTTCCGGAAAGATCGCGCAGTAAAATTCTCGCCGTGGAAGCTTCGTGGCGAGAAGATCTCTAAGAGAAGACTCGCGAAGACTCGCCATGTAAATCTTGCGGAAGAGATCATAGATTAGTCGCGGTGAAAAGGTTGCCGCGAAAGGTTTTCGTACACGGTTCAGCCCAAGGCACTTGGCAGCTCGCTCCTCACAGGACTCTACCCACCCACCCCACCCCGACCTCTATTCTAACTCAACGCCGCTTTGTGCGATGGGCCTCTCCGTATACTAGTAACCGGGTGGCTTCAGGTAGCATAGTTTGCTCCGTGGAGCTTCTAGCCTGAAGTCTAAGCTCATTAGGTTGAAGCTTTCAAAGAATCCTTCCGTCCGTGAGTTTGTGAAGGAAGAAAATGGACAGACAAAAACACAACTTCGATAGTAATGCTCAGAAAGGAAGCGGAGGTTGCCGCTGAAACAGAGAGTGGAGGTGATGAATGGGTGAATGAGTTCAAGTTAGCAGTTCAGCCACGGCGGCGTGTCGTAGCGCGACTTCGAAACAAATGTGATGGGTCATGTATGTTGAGTAATAGAAATATACGGCATTTACCTAGGTGCAGTACGGTCGGACGGGTTGCCACACTCTTGCTCTGCCAGAGTGGGAGGGACTTACTGACACCACGCTGGGTGCGCGGTGCGATAGTAAACAGAGTGTGTTGTGACTGGGTGGATGGTGGTGGTGTAACCACCCTCAACGGTGACGATTACATTGGCTGTGGCATGGGATGGGGGCGTGGTGATGGCCATTGTCATTGGCCAATGAAATGCCCCGCCGACTAAGCGGCAGCGGACATTTCCCAAAGGCGCGTGGTGAACATGTTGAGGCGGCTCGAATGCGCCCCCGCCTTATCCATCCAGCCCAAATCATGTTGAACTGTACATTCATCGCTCTGTACACAGTTGGGTTAAATTTGAATATTGGTTGCAATTGTCGGTATGCAAACGAGTTTGCTAAGGGCGAGTATATCTAATGGGGGTTTGCTGGGTGTGCTGGTCTCCCAGGGCAGGCTCGAACTTTCTAGGAGGTGGTTTGACGTGGCGCTAATTTTAGTTGGGTCAGCATGAGTGAGTTCTTTTAGTTTCGGCGTGAGTTGCGGGACGGCTCTGGTTTGGTTGGGGGTATTCGTCCGTGGCGCTGTGACTCGCTTTCATCCTTACTCGGGCAGCTGGGAAAACAATGGGTGGATGAGAAGAGATTTGAGCGAACCAATGGGAATTATTGTGTCTTTGACACCCTGGCACAACCACCATGGCTTTGTCAACATCCCGAACCTCGATTTTCCGAACCTGCCACACCGAACGCTTCTTGGCTACCACTGTGCAGTGCAGATGTATCGTGGGTCCGACTTATACTAGTACCCTGCCCTAGTTGTGTTCGGTAGTAGTTTTGCTATGTAGATCTTATCGCGGTAGCCGATATAATTAGATTTCTTTGACGATGCAGCAAGTGCCGCTCACTCCTCAGTCATACGTACAGTTGGTCGCTTCATGCGTCTATTGGCGCGCTAGCAGTATTAGATATGATCGGATATCGCTGTCTTGGTAAGACAGATTTCAGTTCCGCGCTCTAGATCTGACTTCCATTTACTTGCGTAGTGCGGACGGAATCATAACGTTTGTCGGCGGACGGATTACTATCGTGGATTCCGTAGGCATAAAAAACGTGGTGCGTTTCGTCGATTAAGCAGCGCGTTTCGTCTAACTCACAGCGTCGACTGTATCATGGACGGAAGACGTGGTAAGGGAGGTGAGCGGAGGTGACGGCAACTTCCCCTTCCCCCTCCCCTTTCCGCTTTCCGCCTCATAACTTCGGAGCATCGACGGTATCTTGGACGCGAGACGCGGAAAAGGAGGACGGGAGGTGAGTGGAGGGGAGTGGAGGTGAGTGGAGGTGAGTGGAACGGAGAAGGGGGAAGCGGACGGAAGGGCGAAGCGGCCATTTCCCTCTTATTTCCCCTTCCCCCTCCCCTTGCCGCCGTCAGCCTTATCTTCTGGGTCTTTGAGAATGTGTGGATGGTAGCCTGGACGGACGACGGGAAACACGGAGGGCAGGAGGTGAGTGGAGGCGAGAAGAGGAAGAAGGACGATGAGGGGAAGATGGACGCGCCCACTCGACGGTACTTCAAAAAAGGCGCCTCAAAAACGTCTTTTGAGACGCCTAAAAAATGAACATTTGAAGACGGAAAGGATTGTCGAATGGTCACAGGCGAATCAGCCCCCTTCCCCCTTGAATCCTCTCTCCCTCTCCCCCTGCTTTCTCCCCCTTCCCCCTTCCCCCTCATCCTCCCCGCTCTCCCCTCATCCTCCCCGCTCTCCTCCCATTCCCCCGCTCTCCTCTCACTTCCCCGCACTCCCATCGTTCCCCCCTCTCTCCCTTCATCCAACCAGCCCCCCCTCCATATCACTGCCGCGCTCTGTTGTTTTCTTCCTTCACGCCCACCCTCATCTCCCTTTGTCTCACTCTGTTCCCCCTCTCTCCCCATCCTCCCCTGTTCCCCGCTTTCAGACTCACCCCTCATCCCCTTCCCCCTCCCATACCTCAACTTCCCCCCTGGTGATGCCTCGTCTCCCCATCCCCCCCCTCCCACCCCTCCCCCCATCCACAGCTTCAACTCCCTCCCCTCCCCCACCACCGCCCCCTCATTTCCCTCATCTCACACCCCCCTCCACTCTTCCACAACCCAGCCACTCAAGAGGGTGAATTCCGTTGCTTGTGCGACGCTCTCATCTCAGGCCTGCCGTCACCGCTCTATTTTCTGCGAGTGTGGCTGCTTTGCTTGTTTTTGCCGCATGTCATTTGACTTGGCAGCTGCCTGGTCTGGCAGGAGGCTGCATGTGGCGTGACTGGTTGACTTGGCAGCTACAGAAACTATTTTCTGGGTTCCTGGTCTGATGCATGGCTGCATTTGATTGGCCAGCAGCAGGCCCACTAGATTCTGCTGTACATTTTTTATTGATTTTCTACCAGTGTTTATATTGATGATAGTTTTGGTACTTCATCAGCTACCAGCCTCCTATGCAATTCTGTACACCTGTTCACATTCTAATACAGTAATAAGATAATCTTGAAGTTGAGCAGCTAGCAGCTTGGCAAGCAGCAACATACGGTGTTGGTACAGGTGCCTGTGCTGAATTCCGGTGCTTCCGCCGCACCCACCCTTGGCTTATTTCGCCATGTGTCTCAAAAATCCTTCTCTAGCGAGCAGTGCGGAACCAAACGCAGCATCGGTGTTGCCTGATGGGGCCACAGGCACGCCCATCACTCGCTCCCTGATGGCACTCCATGTGGGGTTGCCTGCGCCTCCCCCTGCTGTGTACACCCGCTTCACTGGCGGCGACGCTCCCAAGTCAGCTAATAACGAGTATGCCCTGGCCTGGTAAGGTGGGTTGTTTGAGAAGAGAAGGAACGAATCGAGCGTGTGGGCGTGTTGTGATGTTGTGTGGACAGTGGCAGATGGAAATGAGCAATTGAGTGTAATGGTGCTTGTGTGAGTGCAAGTGAGTGTAACAAGGCAGAAAAGACTAGGAAGTAACGAAGAAAGAGATTGAGGAACAGAAGCTTGATTCACCTCGATGGTGGCTATGGACTCAAGAATGCCGTGCAGGAAGAGAGCGTCGTCAGCAGGGCGAGGAGTCAAGCTGCATGGAGCGAGAGAGAGGAAAGGTGTGACTTCTCCAGTCCAGTAATTGGCTGGACACGGACAGACAGAGTGATTGTGATTGTGCCATTGAATGCGATGCGCAGGTGCACAGGGACCAGACCGAATGGCATGACTCTCGGGTACAGGCAGAAGCTCACTCAGAAAAGAATGTGATAGGATTCAGTTGGGTATGGATCCGAGGCTGCACACTCACCGAGGCTGCAGGTCAGGGTCGGACACAGGGAACCTCTCTCCAGGGCGAGTAAGTGGGTAGTAATCGAGTTTACTCTCTACACTTGGGTCTATTTTTACACTCAGCTCCCTCAGCTGCTCGTCTGTAAAATGCTCCCGCAGCACTGCGCCGCCCGTATTCGACGCCCCGCCGACCAGCCACTTGCACTCCTTGTCCTCTTCTGCCACACCTTCCTGCTCCATCTCCCCCTCGTTATCCACCCCGGGCGGCGCCCAATTTCCGGGCGGCAAGCGATGGCTGTATACGCCGAAGCGGGCATCGTCGATTCGCGCAGTGCTGACGAGCTTGACGGCGAGGGTAGACCCGAGCGAGGTGACGGCATACCCGGGGGTAGTTACCCTCGCGGCCAGGAAGGCCGCAATGCTGTCGGTGGTGCCGGTGGTGACGATGCAGTCGGGCGGGAGGGCTGCCAGGGAGGGAGGGATGGACGGATGGATGGATGGAGGGAGGGAGGGAGGGAGGGAGGGAGGGAGGGAGGGAGGGAGGGAGCAAGTGGAGGCGATAAGAGTGAGATGGTGAGTGTGAGATGGTGAGTGTGAGATGGTGAGTGTGAGATGGTGAGTGTGAGATGGTGAGTGTGAGATGGTGAGTGTGAGATGGTGAGTGTGAGATGGTGAGTGTGAGATGGTGAGTGTGAGATGGTGAGTGTGAGATGGTGAGTGTGAGATGGTGAGTGTGAGATGGTGAGTGTGAGATGGTGAGTGTGAGATGGTGAGTGTGAGATGGTGAGTGTGAGATGGTGAGTGTGAGATGGTGAGTGTGAGATGGTGAGTGTGAGATGGTGAGTGTGAGATGGTGAGTGTGAGATGGTGAGTGTGAGATGGTGAGTGTGAGATGGTGAGTGTGAGATGGTGAGTGTGAGATGGTGAGTGTGAGATGGTGAGTGTGAGATGGTGAGTGTGAGATGGTGAGTGTGAGATGGTGAGTGTGAGATGGTGAGTGTGAGATGGTGAGTGTGAGATGGTGAGTGTGAGATGGTGAGTGTGAGATGGTGAGTGTGAGATGGTGAGTGTGAGATGGTGAGTGTGAGATGGTGAGTGTGAGATGGTGAGTGTGAGATGGTGAGTGTGAGATGGTGAGTGTGAGATGGTGAGTGTGAGATGGTGAGTGTGAGATGGTGAGTGTGAGATGGTGAGTGTGAGATGGTGAGTGTGAGATGGTGAGTGTGAGATGGTGAGTGTGAGATGGTGAGTGTGAGATGGTGAGTGTGAGATGGTGAGTGTGAGATGGTGAGTGTGAGATGGTGAGTGTGAGATGGTGAGTGTGAGATGGTGAGTGTGAGATGGTGAGTGTGAGATGGTGAGTGTGAGATGGTGAGTGTGAGATGGTGAGTGTGAGATGGTGAGTGTGAGATGGTGAGTGTGAGATGGTGAGTGTGAGATGGTGAGTGTGAGATGGTGAGTGTGAGATGGTGAGTGTGAGATGGTGAGTGTGAGATGGTGAGTGTGAGATGGTGAGTGTGAGATGGTGAGTGTGAGATGGTGAGTGTGAGATGGTGAGTGTGAGATGGTGAGTGTGAGATGGTGAGTGTGAGATGGTGAGTGTGAGATGGTGAGTGTGAGATGGTGAGTGTGAGATGGTGAGTGTGAGATGGTGAGTGTGAGATGGTGAGTGTGAGATGGTGAGTGTGAGATGGTGAGTGTGAGATGGTGAGTGTGAGATGGTGAGTGTGAGATGGTGAGTGTGAGATGGTGAGTGTGAGATGGTGAGTGTGAGATGGTGAGTGTGAGATGGTGAGTGTGAGATGGTGAGTGTGAGATGGTGAGTGTGAGATGGTGAGTGTGAGATGGTGAGTGTGAGATGGTGAGTGTGAGATGGTGAGTGTGAGATGGTGAGTGTGAGATGGTGAGAGTGAGATGGTGAGTGTGTGACTTAATGCGAGTGACAACACCTAAGAGGTGCATGTAATGCATGACACACCCTTCCCAGTGTAAAGCCAGCAGCGCGAGGAACCACTCACGAAGCCCCCCCAGCATGACTCACCAAGCTCGGCTGTGAGCTGTGGCCCCACGGTGCCAATGAGCGAGCCGGGCGGCAGCACGCGTGGCAGCATGGGCGCCAAGGGCAGCGCGAGCAGCCAGTCCGGATAGGTGCTGCTCTCAGGGTCGTAGCCCAGCTGAAAAGGAGGGGTGGGAGGGGAGCGGGAAGGTGCGCTGGGGGCAGGGGTGCTGTGAGAGTGATTGGGATCACCCTCCCTGTCCACTCTTGAGTCGATTCAAAATTCATCTGGTGGTCGGGGTAGGCGCTGGCCTCAAGGTAGTAGCCCAGATGTAGAAGGGTGAAGGGGTATTTGGGGGAGGCTTATTGGTGATACAGGATAGTATCGTCGTTTATCAGGAAGGCATCACTCCAAAACGACATATTATCAGCACCATCACCCCATGCAGCCACCATCACCCCATGCAGCCACCATCACACCGTGCAGCCACCATCACCCCGTGCAGCCACCATCCCACATACTCGCACCTTGAGTGCATTGTTAAAGTCAGTGACATGCACGTCCGCTGCTCCACACAGCTGCCCCAACAGCCAATCGGCCTGATGCACCATCACCACCTCCCCCTCTCCCTCCCCTCCCCCTCTTCCTCTTCTACCCCCCTCCCCACTTTGCCTCAACCACCACGTCATCAGCTTGCACAGCGTGGACGTGCCAGCTGTCGCCGTGTGATTGGCCGGCGCCACTGCTGCCACGGCAGCCACTGCCTCAGCGCTGCCCGCCTCGTTGTACATCATGGGGCGGGTCACGGGCTTGCGGGTAGAGCTGGGGGAGAGGCAATAGAGGCAGGGGAGATAGTCAATCAGTCTGTTGAATTGGATTGGACTGCCTGCCTGCCTGCTTCAGGGCTGCCCGCCTCGTTGTACATCATGGGTCGGTTCACGGGCTCATGGGAAGAGCTGATAAAAGGAAGGGATGGAAGAGACGACACAGAGGGGGGAAACAGTCGATTGGGCCTTTGAATTGGACTGCCTGCCTCCCAGACCACACTGCACCACACTGCACAACATTGCACCATGGGCTGCCTGCCCTTGCTGTACATCATGGGGTGGGCTGCGGGGTCGCGGGTGAATGGAGGAAGAAATGGGAAAGAGGGGGGGGGAGGGGGAGTAACAGTCTATCGCTCTCTTAATTTGGACTGCCTGCCTCCCTCTGCTCTTCACTGCACCGCACTGCACCCCTGCAAAGGCACTCTTTCCAACTGACCATCATTGTGGTGGCGGTCGTGCTGTCCAGCACCACGCCACCTGCACCGCACTGCACCCATGCAACACTGCCCCATATCCCCATGTCATCATGCCATGCCTGCGCCGCACTGCACCCATTAAGACACTCTCTCACCGGCTGAAGACCATGGTGGTGGCGGACGTGCCGTCCAGCGACACTGCCGCAACTCACCGCCTCAACTCCTGCATCGACAGCCCCCACACCACCTGCACCGCACTGCACCCATGCAACACTGCCCCATGTCACTGTGTCACCCGTACCGTACTGCACCGCTCTCACCGGCTGACGACCATGGTGGTGGCGGACGTGCCGTCCAGCGATACTGCCGCCACTCGCCGCCTCAACTCCTCGGGAATGTCGCGCAACAGTCCAAACAACGCCGCCCGCCACCCCTCCGCTGCTGACACGTCACTGTCCGGGTCGGTGCCGCCCATTGATGACTCGGATGCTGACTCAGCATGGGCTGCAGGAGGGTATTTCCTCTTGACGTCAGCAAGAATGGTCGCGTCGCCATCAATAACAACAGCACGCGCCCCGGACGTTCCAAAATCAAATCCCAGGAAAAGAGGGGATGATTCAGCTGCTGACGTGGATGCGCGCACCAGGACGGTGCCGCCAGGTTGCCGGACAGGTGGCATTGCCTTGAAGCTGCCACGTGGCAGCAACTTCCAGGATTGACCTTCAACAAACGGGTTGTTCAGGCGGTTCCTGTTTGGTCGGCCTATCCCCGTCTGCCAATGATATTGCTCCACGTGGCGATTGGAGACGCATTGCCCTCCCACGGTCGTACTGATCGCTGGGGCGGCGAGTGTAACGTTGATGTGACTAAAACGGTGGGTCGCATTCTCAGTCCGAGGGTGACTATGGCAGAGAGTGCGGCAGAGAGAGAGAGAGGGAGCATGAGTGTAGCGGGATTCAAGGCGCGCGGGGGACGAGGCAGGGTGGAAACGACAAGGCGCGTTCCGCGGCAATGGACCGCAGGTTGGGGAAGCCATAACGTGCAAGGTCATGAGAAAAGCAAGGCGGATTAAAAATAGGTGTGCTTTATTGAAAGCGGCTATTGTGGACGCGGGCGTTTGGTCTAGTGGCATGATTCTCGCTTAGGGTGCGAGAGGTCCCGAGTTCAATTCTCGGAACGCCCCCTATCTCTCCTACCGTTGTTTTTTGTGACCCCTAGGTGCACATGCAGGTCGTTGAGACACGAGATGCCACAGGACATCTGAGTTTTGCTACCTGTGACCATGAAGGGGACGAGAAGGACGCTTGGGTGAAGGAACAACTGGCATAGGGCACTAAATCCAGCTGTGAGTTGCAAGGCTTACTTTGCAATGCAGCAATGCACAAGATCCAACAGTGATCCTCCCCTGCCTCATATATATACATACAATAACAGTAGTTTCAATCTAATATACTTGTTCCCCTACCTCTCTGTGCAGAAAGCAGGACTTTGAGAGATCCCTAGTGATCTCTATGAATGCTCTGCACCTTGATTAACTTTCTGGTAATGTCCCTCCCTGGTACCTCAGTGGGCTGTTGTGCCGGTGCGTGCTACAACACGGGCTGGTCGTAATAATGTGTGCAGGTGACCTGTGAAGCACTTGAAGCACTGGTGCGGTGTGAGGCGTATGAATCACCCAGCCAGGGCTTGACTGCGTGTGCTGCTGTTTCTACCGTGTGTGGGCTGCCCATAGTGTGTGCGCAGGTGACGTATCAAGCACTTCACGCCACTTCACGCCATGCTCTTTGGTGTATGTACCATGCAGGCAGGGCTGAACCGCATATGCTGCTCCAACTGCCAGCCACGGCTTGCCCGCGTGTGCTGCTGCTACCGCGCTGGCTGGCCGTAGTGTGTGCGCAGGTGGCGTGTGAGATCCACCTTGTATCCAAACGCCCTCCCACACTCCGTAAAGCTGCAACCGATGGGAGGAAGGAGGAGGGCGAGGATGGGAGGCGTTGCGGATGGTCTTTCTGGGGGCGCACTCTTGACTTGCATCAACTCACACGGCAAGTCACACGCAAGCTAGTCTTCACATGACTCTAAAGGTAAGTGAGGCTCACGGGCAGTGGAAGGGCGTTTCTCCAGTGTGCATGCGCAGGTGGCTTTTGAATCGACTCCTAAGGCAGAGCAGGAGCAGCAGCAGCGGAAGGGCAAGGTGAGTGTCAGGAGCAGTGGAAGGGCAAGAGAGGCGAGACTCACGAGCAGTGGAAGGGTTTCTTGGCCGTCTGTGTGCGCAGGTGGCTTACGAGTCAACGCACAAGGCAAATAACAGCCAAGCGAGTCGTACTTAAAAGGTAAGTAATGTGAGACTCACGAGCAGTGGAAGGGCTTCTCGCCCGTGTGTGTGCGCAGGTGGCCGTGCAGCGAGTTGTTCCACTTGAACGTCTTCTCACACCCCTCCCACGGGCACTGCAACGGCCGCTCGTCACTGTGCGTGCGCTGATGCACCACCTGTGGGGGTGGAAGTAGGGGGCGAGAGGGAGGCAGGAAAGGAAGTGTGGAACGTTGATTTGTTCCTGTGCCGAGACGTGAGGAAGAGCGGGGAGGGAGCAGGGGCAAGGATACCATACCTGTGAGAACAAGTTGCTTCAATCAACTCACCAGCCGCTCTCGGAAGGCAAACCGCTTGCCACACCCCGGCACCGCACAGGCGTGCAAGCACTCGTGCTTCTTCACATGGCGCCCCAGCAGCTGCCGCGTGGCCATGCGTTCACCGCACCCATCCACAGAGCACTGGTAGGGGCGCTGCCCCGTGTGCTCGTTCAAGTGGTCCTTGAGGGTCCCTGGCGTGGCAAACTTGCGCGGACAGCCTGTGTGTGGACAGATGTGCGCTCGCTCGCTTGCTGCTATCAGCCTCTTCGTCTCCTGTAGCATCTGGAGAGAGGAAGGGCAGAGAATGAGGATGGGGGGATGAGAGAGGGAAACAAACCGCCCAGAGGCAGCAAGAGCATTCACAAGAACACGTGCAAGAACAGCATAAGCTAGCTCGCTGCTATCACACCCCCTCCCTCTCCTCTCACCTGCTCCATCTGCGCCACTGTCAGCTCCTCCCACGGCGTCTCCAGCAGCTCACCACCTGACTCTGCTCCCCCTGCCGCGCCCACCGCTGCACCGTGCGCCACTCTTTCCGCCCCTTGTCCGCCTTGTGCTCCCTCCCTTGTGCTCCCGCCCACAGCAGCCTGAGCACCAGCAGCAGCGCCACCAGTGCTAGCAGACGCACCACTCCCTTGCCCCGCGGCCATGCCAGCAGCCTCCAGAGCCATGCGGTACGTCATTGCCAGCTCGCACGCGTCTGATCCCCTCAGCTGCTCCGGCCTGCGCAGGGGGGGCGAAGGAAAGGGGGGATGAGGCGCAAAACACCACCCCTGGCCCGGCAGTCATGCCTTCAGCCTCCAGAGCCATGTGGTATGTTGCTGCCAGCCCGTATGCATCTGATCCCCTCAGCTGCTCCGGCCTGCACGGGAGAGAAGGAAGAGAAGGAACAAGAGGTGAGGGGGAGGAGGAGCGGGGCATGAGGCGCATCACAGCCTTGCCCAGCAGCAGCCATGCCAGCAGCCATCCTGAGCCATGCGGTACGTCATCGCAGGCTCGTATGCATCTGACCCTCTCAGCTGTTCCGCCTGCAGGTGAGAGAGGGATGGGGACAAGCGGTGGGGGGAAGGGAGCATGAGGCTCCTCACCCTCTTGCCTCCAGAGCCATGCGGTATGTCAGCTGCATGTCAAAGGGAGGGAGGGGAATCGGTGGAAACAAGAGCAGGCGCAAGGGAAGGTGTGTGTGTGTGTGCTTGTAACCAAGCCACACAATAAGACGCGGCCAGCTCATACATATTGGATCCCCACATTTGCTGCGGCCTGCATGGGAAGAGAAGGGTGGACACGTGAGTTGTCGAGGCTTGTCTCAGAACATGTGGCTCATATCAAAGTACGTACTGTCGGCTCATATGAACAGTGGGACTGCTGTAGCTGCTCAGGCCAGTGCGGGAAGAACGAGGGCCCACAGTTTCCCTCGGGGGTAAAACGGGGAAAATGAGAGGTTCACAATTGGGAGCAGGGAGCAGGGAACAGGGAACAGGGAGCAGGGAACAGGGAACAGGGAACAGGGAGCAGGGAACAGGGAGGTTTCATGACCCCTACTTGAGGCAGAAATTGCAGATGACAATGATTCTCATGCCCACTCTATTGACCCACTCACTGGATTCGCTTCCATTTAGAAAGCGCCAGCCTGCGCGAAAGAGATGCCCCCCTCCCCTTCTCTCTCCCCCTCCCCCTTCCCCCCTTCCTTCTCCGCACCCCTCCCCCGCCCACTTCCCCCTCCCCTCGTCGCCCTGTCTCCTCCCCTTCCACCTCCGCCTCTCCCTCTCTCCCTTCCCACATCATCTCCACTGTCCCATGCACCCCCATCCTGCCCCCCTCTCACGCCCCCCTCTTGCCCTCCTCTTAAGCCCCCCTCCTGCTCTGCTCCAGCGCCCCCCTCTTCTCCCAACCATTCCGCACAGTCGCCCTCGCCACTACCCCCACATGCATCCCCCTCCACTGCCCTCCCCACCCGCTCCCCCTCTGCCTCCTCTCCCCCCTCCCGACCTGACGTATGCGGCCTCTCTCCCCCCACCTCCCGCCCATCCATCTCCCCACGCTCCACCCGCAACCTCTTCGCTCTCTGCTGCTCCACACCTCCACCAGCAGCAACTGTCCCACCCCCCTGACCACAACCCATCCCCATCGCCGCTCTCCCCTCCCCATTCCCCCCTCCCCACATCCCCATCGCCCCTTCCCTTTCCCCCCTGCACTGTGCCCTCCCTCCGCTCCCCCTCATGCCATCTTCCCCCTCTCGCCCACCGTTCCCTGCCCTCTCTCTCTCCCCTGCTCTGTCCCCTCCGCTCTGTCCTGCTTCCTGCCCCACACCACCGCTCCCCCACTCCGTGCCGGTATGCCCCCCTGTGGCGGCAATTGCAGCATGCACCCACCGCTGCATGCTGCCTCCATACCGCTCTCGCACCAGCTGCATGAGACGGGCGAAGACTGTACAGGGCAGAGCAGGAGGGGGAGGGAGGGAGGGAGAGGTGGGGAATAGATTGAACGAGGAGAACACTGCGGCATGCATCCACCGCTGCACGCTGCCTCCATACCACTCTCGCACCAGCTGCATCAGCCGTGAAAACACTGGGGAGGAGACGAGAGCGGTGAGGGGAAAGGAAAAATGAATTGCAAGAATGATTGAGGGAGTACACTGCACCGCACGCTCATACACTGCACCACACGCTCATGCGCTGCACCACACGCTCATACACTGCACCACACGCTCATACACTGCACCACACGCTCATACACTGCACCAGACACTCATACACTGCACCACACACTCATACACTGCACCACACACTCATACACTGCACCACACACTCATACACTGCACCACACACTCATACGCTGCACTGCACGCTCATACACTGCACCACACACTCATACACTGCACCACACACTCATACACTGCACCGAACGCTCATACGCTGCACCGCCCGCTCATACGCTGCACCGCCCGCTCATACGCTGCACCGCCCGCTCATACGCTGCACCGCACGCTCATACGCTGCACGCCCGCTCATAAACTGCATCGCACGCTCATACACTGCACCGCCCGCTCATACACTGCACTGCACGCTCATACGCTGGACCGCTTATGTGCTAGTAGCGTCCTAGCACATCCCCACACCCACCCATACAATCTACCGCTGTGTATGTTTGTCTTCCCATGGCAACACACGTACCAGCAGCATCAATGTCAGCCCTACTACCCTACCTCCATGCTCTCTCCATGATCAATGTAGCATTGAGATCGGGGTTGAGATCAGGTTTGAGATCAGGTTTGAGATCAGGTTTGAGGTCAGGTTTGAGGTCAGGCTTGAGATCAGGTTTGAGATCAGGTTTGAGGTCAGGTTTGAGGTCAGGTTTGAGATCAGGTTTGAGATCAGGTTTGAGATCAGGTTTGGGATCAGGTTCGAGATCAGGTTTGAGATCAGGTTTGAGGTCAGGTTTGAGGTCAGGTTTGAGATCAGGTTTGAGATCAGGTTTGAGATCAGGTTTGAGGTCAGGTTTGAGGTCAGGTTTGAGGTCAGGTTTGAGATCAGGTTTGAGATCAGGTTTGAGATCAGGTTTGGGATCAGGTTTGAGATCAGGTTTGAGGTCAGGTTTGAGGTCAGGTTTGACACACCTATACAATCTCCCGCCATGTTTGTTTGTACTCCGATGCCCTCAGTGACTTGCATTGCACCCTGTTCCCATGGCAACACACGTACCAGCAGCATCAATGTCAAGCCTATTACCCTACCTCCATGCTCTCTGTAACATTGAGGCATACCACCCTTCTTCCCATGGCATGACATGACGACACACGTACCACCAGCATCAATGTCGACTTGCAGTCGCCTTGTTCCCCCTGCCGCACCCACATGCACTTCCCCAACCCCCTGCACTCTACTTAACCCTCCCCTCTCCTGCTGCTGCTGCTGCTGCTGCTGCTGCCGCTGCTGCTGAAGCTGCTGTTGGTCTTGCTGCCTCGCCAAGCCTCCTCTCGTCTGCACTGCCTCTGCTCGTGCTTCCACTGCTTGCGTCCCCTCTGCCTGCGCCAGCTGCTGCAGCTGCTGATCCAAGGCCAGTGGCAGAAAGCCCTGCACTGAACCCATCATGCAGGGTGCTGCCGCAACATTGCCTGCCTCGCCAGCAGCTGGCCTGCCATGTTGGTGACCATGAGCACCACTGCCACTGTGACTGCCACTCACATTGCCCGTACATTCCGCCTCTTGCTCCTGCTGTGGCGGCACAACCAGGACGCCACTAGCGGGGTGTCCATGGCCATGGCCATGGGCATGGGCAAGGGTATGGGAATGTCCGTGCGCATGGGCATGGGCATGTGCATGTACATGTGAGTGGGTATGGGATGGCATGTGCTGCTGAGCGGGTTGGAATGGCTGATGAGCGCCAGACACATGAGCATGCTGCCGCCCCTGGTGGTGACCATGCATGCGATTCTGCTCGTGACACTGTTCATGCTCCTGACCCTCATTACAGCCTCCATGCTGTTGCGCTTGCCGCTGCTGCTCTTCCTGCAGCTGTTCATGCTGCTGCTGCTGCTGCTGCTGCTGCTGCTGCTGCTGCTGCTGCTGCTGCTGCTGCTGCTGCTGCTGCTGCTGCTGCTGCTGCTGCTGCTGCTGCTGCTGCTGCTGCTGCTGCTGCTGCTGCTGCTGCTGCTGCTCATCGTGATTCACACCATGATCGGCAATCCCAAGGTGGCCTTCAGTCCGGTCGTACAGCATCACTGCATAGTCCAACTCCGCGTCCCCACCTGTCATTCCCCCCATTTCTTCCTCTCCCACCATCGCATCTGGACCGTCTATTCCGTGCCCTTCCTCGTCGATCCTGAGATCTTCGACGGTGATTTCATCATCGTCATTACCATTGCCACCATAATGATCATCATTACCATCCTCAAAACCACCATCACCAGCACTATCAGCATCATCATCACCGTAATCCCCATCACCATCACCAGTGGCAAACGCAGCAGCAGCATCCCTCCCTTCAACCTCATCCTCCCTTACTGCCATCCCATCACCTCCCACTGCCGCTATCCCACCATCCCCCATCGCTAAGCCACGCCCCTCCTCCTCCACGTCACACTCTCCGCCCTCCCGCTCTTCCTCCTCCCCCTCCCCTTCTTCCTCTCTCCCTCCCTCCTCCTCCTCTCCCTCTAGAAGCTCCACCCCCAACACCCCCTCCCCTTCCTCCCTTCCCCCATTGTCACAATCGACCACTCCTCTTGCATCTACACCGTTCCCCTCTGATTGGTCCACATCTTCCCTCTCTCCCCCCGGTTCCCCAGCTCCCCTCCCCTCCTCCGCGCTACGCTCCGCTCCCCCTCCCTCCAAATACCCCGATTCGCGCAGCGCCGCTGCTCCGCCATTCAGTGCGCGCGTGGTATCCGCGCGTCCCCGCTCCGCGCTTTCCGTGCCTCCGCCACCGCTTCCGGGGGTAAAGTGCGGGTCCCGACAGGGGGCCTCATGCGCCGGGGTTATCGGAGGCGTTCCCCGGGGGAGCGCGGGAATTGCGCCAGGAATTGTGCTGGAGAGTCCGCCGGTAATCGCGCCGGAGTGCCCGACCGCGATTCCGTCGAGATTGCCGTGAGCCGCGACCGCATATCCCGCGTGGTGCAAGGGGGAAATGTACGGATAGTGGGGAAACGGGAGATGCGCCAAGTGCGCGTGCGGGTGAGGGAAAAGTTCCCCCGCGGGCGCAAAATGAGGCGGAAAAGGCGCGGACATGGGGAGCGAGGGGAGATGGGGGAGCTGATAGTGGGAAAGCGGGAGATGGTGCGCGTGCGGGGGGAGCGACGGAAGGAGAGGAGGATGAGGGGGGAAGCTGTTGTGGTGGAGTGGGGGAAAGGCAGCGGAAGGATCGTGGGGACTGCGCCATGGCGGAGGGGGAGATGACTTTCGAGAATTCTCAAAGGTCGCACCAATATAGCGGAGGGGGAGATGACTTTTGGGAATTCTTAAAGGTCGCACCAATATAGCGGAGGCGGAGATGGCGAATTACGGCTGAGAACTGACTGTCACGAGAGCGCCGAGAGTCTAACGACGGGAATCGATCATTACGGCTAGCAGTCGTGACGTCACTGGTTGCACATGAGGGCATTGACTGAGCCCGTGACGTCACTGGTTGCACATGAGGGCATTGACTGAGCCCGTGACGTCACTGGTTGCAGCCGTGCACATGGCGTCACTGGGTCGCGGTATGGAGGCTGGTGCCCGAATGGTTATGACGAGTCGAGTCGAGAGGCGGAATTTTCGGGCTGGTGGTGACGAGACAAACGTAACGAAAGTCCGCGACACTACCAGGAGTGCCGGGATGCGACTACAGTACGACTGCCACTATGCAACAGAAACGACAGTACGCGACCCGGACCGGCAGTAAGCGACTAGAACTGACAAGACGATAATATCTAGGGGGAACAGGAGTGGCATGTGATGTGACGGATGATATCTGGGTGTCCAAGGTTCGTGAACCATTGCCCATTCTCGTTAAAGAGTGGGCCTACCAACGCGATTAGAAACGAGACATGCCTGAGACCTTACAAATATGAAAACAATAGGCAAGGAATTATGCAAAGGCCTAAATAACCTCTAAAAAATGACAAAGATTGCCACGAAGGGAGTACTTCTAGGTACTACTCCACAAATCTCCCTCGCCACACCCTCCCTAAGCTTGTAACATGTAGCCTATGCTTTTGCATACATACTTCCTCCGAAGCAAATTGCCTGTTAGCGCCTTCAACTTCCAATCCTGCTGCTGCAATGTATTCAGGCCTAACCTCTCGTCCCTCCAACTATCCACTCCAAACCGGATCTCTTCTTGACTGCGACCTCACTTTGGCCTCGGGTTTCAAGCGCACCCACCATCACCCATGTGTACAGTATCCTATCATACCCACCCATCAACGACTTAATGTGATGAGCCTGTGGGTGCCCTATCTAGTGGGTGTAGTGGGGGTCCTTGGTGGAGTTGGTGCGCCTAGCTCTCCCCCGCCCCTCCCCCTCCTCTTCCCCCCCCCGCACCATTCCCCTCGTCCCCAACAGGCAGCGTCATCAGCTGCTGCAGAGTCTTGATTAGATTCTCCATCTGTGGTCGCCCGGCCGGATCCTCGTTGATACAGTGCTTCGCGAGAACGAGCAGTTTCTGCGCACCCACGCGGGAATATTTGTCCTCTAGCCGCTCGTCCATGACTGCCTCGAGATTCGGGCGGCGCTGTGCCACATGCGCGCGCACCCATGTCGTCAGCTTGCAGTCCTCAGTTTCACCTCCAGACGAAGGAGGCCGGCCAGTGAGGAGCTCGAAATAGACCACTCCGAGAGCGTAGATGTCACTCTTTGGGGTGAGATGACCTGGTAGGGGCGAGGAACGGGAGGGAAGGAGGGGGGGTGTGGGAGGGGGGGGGTGTGTGTATGGGGAAAGCAGCGTGGGTGAGGAGTTGGAAGTAGACAACTCCAAGAGCGTAGATGTCACTCTTTGGGGTGAAATGGCCTGGTGGAGGCACGGGGTGGGGGGGGAGGAGGGGAGCGTATGGGGAAGGGGGGGGGTGTAAGGGGCAGGCAGGCAGAGCCTAGGTGGCACTCTTTGGGTCTTTGGGTGAGGTGGCCTGGTGGGAGCAAGGAGGGGAGGAAAGCGTGTGAAGGGGAGGAAGGCGTGTAAAGGGGAGGAAGGCGTGTGAAGGGGAGGAAGGCGTGTGAAGGGGAGGAAGGCGTGTGAAGGGGAGGAAGGCGTGTGAAGGGGAGGAAGGCGTGTAGGAGGAAAGCCAGGCCATAAGGAGGTTGAAATGAACCATTCAAGAGCATGGATGTACCACCCTTGGTCGAGGCCCCCCATGGTGCTCATAGTGCTTATTAACGCGCCTCATAGTGCTTATCTGATGCAGCATACTGGGCGTACCTGTCTCGAGGTACTTGGGGTCGAGGTACCCCATGGTGCCCATGACGCTTATTGAGGCACCTCATAGTGCATATTTGATGCACTATAGGGTACCTGGTAGTACGTACCGGCCTCAATCGTCTGATGCAGTATAGGGTACCTGTTTCGAGGTACTTGGGGTCGAGGTACCCCATGGTGCCCATGACACGCGTGGAGATGTGTGTCTGCCCTGACTCCGGCCCCATCGTTGCCATGCCAAAATCCGTCAGCTTCGCCCGCATGTCCTGCCATGCCATGTGTGGTGTGCGCACAGCACAGTGGCGGGAAAAGGGGAGGAGAGAGAACAGAGTCGAGTCACTACATCTCAGGAAAGCTCTGTTTAAAAAAAGGTATTCCCCGGTGCCCCCCTGACTTCAGCCACATGGTTGCCATGCCAAAATCCGTCAGTTTTGCCCATCTCCTGCCATGCCATGCCATGCCGTGCGTGGGCAGCAGAATGGAAGGCGGAAGGGGGGAGGGAATCGGGTGGAGTTGAGACACTACATCTCAAGGGAAGATGTGTGAAACGAGGTGCTCTACCCTGCCCCACTTCGACCCGCCCCATGGTTGCCATACCAAAGTCCGTCAGCTTCGCCGGCATGTCTTGCCATGGGTTGCCACATGGAGGGCAGAATGGCAGGAGGGAAAAAGGTGGTCGGCAGCAAGTGTGAGAAGTTAAGTGCCGACGTATTCAGGGAGTCCTGTTGGAAGAAGGATTTACTCATGTCATCCTACAGCACGCACACACATGCCTGGCAGGAGGCGGTGCTTGTTCAATCACGCCACAGCATAGCTTTCCACACCGCACCGCACCGCACCAGATCACACCGCACCTTATCGAGCAGCACGTTGCAGGACTTGAAGTCGCGGTGAATCACGTTCTCTGAGTGCAGATACGCCAGGCCCTGCGTGGCGTCCAGCGCTATCCGCACACGCTCCTCCCAGGTGAGCGGGCGGTGCTTGTACACTCCCGTGTGGTCGTCTGGAGGTCATTGTAAAAGGAGGGGGAAGGAGGGGGCAGAGGAGAAGGGAGAACGGTAGGGGACACGTGAGGGGGTGGTGCTTGTGCTCGCCCGTGTGGTCGAGTGGAGGTCGTTCGAGGGGGGATGTGGGGGGGGACAGAGAAGGGAGAACGAACCAATGAGGCAAACGAGAGGAAGGGGCTGTTCTTAGGTAAGCGCACCGTGCTTGTACACGGCCGTCCGTCCGGACACCTGCTGCTTGTTTGGAGGAGGATGGAACGAGGATGGAAAGCAGGGATAAGGTTAAAGAAGGCGTAAGGCCTTTGCGACACAAGTAAGACAGGGGGAGAGGAGAAGAGACGAGAGGGGCGACTTCTCGAGGAGAGGAATGGGAGGCGAGGAGGAGAGGTGAGGAGAGGGGAGGAGAGGGGAGGAGAGGGGAGGAGAGGAGCAGAGCAGCGGCAGCTGGGAGGAGCTAGGAGTGGGGGGTAGCCAGGAGTCGAGGCTGCTGTTCTCCAGCAGCTCATACACCAGCACTGCCTCGTCCCTCTCCGTGCTGTGTTTCTCAAAGGCAACAGGCGGGCTGCGGGCAAACAGGCGGGCCGTGGTGTAGGTCTTACTTCCAATCTGCTCTGCTTGTTCAAAACCCTCACACCCCACCCCACCTGGGAAGAGCCACGAGTCGAGGCTGCCGTTCTCCAGCAGCTCGTACACCAGCACTGCCTCGTCCCTGTCCGTGCTGTACCCCAGCAGCCGCACCAGGTTCGGGTGCTGCAGCCGCCCCAGCAGTAGCACCTCCGCCTGGGAACAGGGGTTAGCGAGGGAGAGAGGGAGTGAGAGAAAGAGGGGCATGGGAGCAAGGGAAGGGACATGATGAGCCTCGCCCCTGTCCGTGCTGTACTGCAGCAGCCTCACCAGTTTCGGGTGCTGCAGGCGCCCCAGCAGCAGAACCTCCGCTTGGGGACGCACAGGGGTGTGTGGGAGAGAAAGGGAGGGGGGAAATGAGCCTCGCCCATGAACATGCTTTATCCCAACAGCTGCACCAGGCTGGGGTGCTGCAGACGAACCAGTAAAAGTACCTCCGTCTGAAGACACACAGGAGTGAGCGAGGGAGAGAGGGAGAAACGGAAAGAGGAGCACAACGGTGAAGCCACTCACCATCCTCCCGCTATCCTTCCCCCCCTTGCATCCAGCCACCCACCATCCCCTCCTTCCCCCACTCACCGACCCCCTTTCCCCCCACTCACCATCAACTCACTATCCTCCCCCTTCACCCACTCACAATCTTCCCCCTTCCCCGACTCACTAGCCTCCCCCACACCGCTTCCCTCTCTCCCTCACCATCCACTCGCCGAAGCCCTGAAAGCTCTCTTCGTCCAGCATCTTAATGGCAAGCGGCCGCTTCTCCCCTTTGGGCAGCTCGCCCATCCACTCCTCCATGGCTCCGCGGTACACCTTGCCGAAGCTGCCCGCGCCCAGCACGCTCTCATCGCGGAACCGGTTGGTGGCGGCCTGCAGCTCCTTGTACGTGAAGCGACGCAGGTTGGACGCTAGGATGGATTGTTCCCCGCCAGTCCCATCCGTGGATTCTGGGAGGGAAGGAGGGGGTAAGTGGGGGGAGCAGGATGCAGCAGGAAGCGGGATGCAGGAAGGGAAGAGGAGGAGAGGATGCAGGAACCGGTTGGTGGCGGCCTGTAGCTCCTTGTATGTGAAGCGACGGAAATTGGACGCTAGGATGGACTTCTCGCTGCCGCTCGCGCCGGTGGATTGCTCTGGATGGGTGGGAGGGGGGAAGGGGGGAAGAGGGGGGATGCAGGATGCATGGGGAGGAGGGGGAGACGTCGCGAAAGCGGCCAGCTTCGCATGCCCATATAGTCTTCACGCGTGCCTGGAATAAACGCCGCATAGTACACCAACTAGCGTTTTTTTCCGAGCAACGCGTTCTTTTATATGATCCACACCTCGCATTGCGTTACCTTTTCTAGTTACGAGCGTGTTATCGATAATGCATACCTGAGATCCGTAGTTGCCGACGTCCCTCTTGCCGTGAAATGAATGACATGCATCCACGACTAACTTGACATTCATGACATTCTTGACATGCGACTTGCATACCTGACATCCATGGCTGGCTGCTCTTGCTGCTCTTGCTGGTGCTGTTCTTGGTGATCTTTACCGATTGCTCCTCTATACTCAGGCAGCACCCCATGCCGCTTCGACTCCCTCCTAACGAAAACACCCCTAAGCTGCGGAATAACCGGCGATAGCGCTTCTACGAGTTAAGCCGTATCCATGACGCATGGACCGGCGAAAATGTCGTACAAGATCGGAGCTTATACTTAGATAATTCTACTATTCTTGATACGTATTTGATATGTCCAGCCGAGAATGAAACGCGCGAAGCAGATAAATATGTCAAAGACGCGAAACAGCTCTAACCTATGACCTAATTTGGCGGTTACCTTTATCTGTACCTGGCACTAACGCCAGCTTGCACAGGGTCATCTCAGGCGGAAAATACTATCCCACACCAAAAAAACAAAAAAAAGAAAACTTACTATTGAACCAAACAAATACTCGTGACTGATCAATGGAAGCTCGAATGCTACACCGGCGGGAACTAGACACTCGGGAAGGACTTTCCGTCAAAATGTCCCCTAATTAGCTGGCACGCGAGCGCAGTCAGACATACGCCATTGCTCCGACGCGCAAGACGCTCGCATGCGTAGCCGCAGCCTTCAGTGCTTTTGTCGAGGGGAGGGAGAGAAACGGGTGCGCTTGGCGTGGTGTGAGAGGTGAGGCAACCACCAACACGTGTTGCACTCTGCAGAGACAGAGGAACCCAGTGTACAGAACACGGACGGACACGGCATCTATGCGTTGCAGACAAGAACAGTGAAGGCCAGAAGACACAGGCGATGAGCAAGACTGCCGCTGCTGTGACTTCCTCTTGGAGTGCTGCTTTCCACAGCGACTTCTACAGCCTTTTACGGTACCAGCCTATCCAATTTCTCTACAACGGCATGTTGTTAAGGTATCTACAGCTAAACCATGCATAAGCATTTGTTTCCAGCACTGTTTCAGAGACAAACCAAGTGAACCATCAAAATCACAAACCCAGTACAACCACAAACGCTCAATTGAGAGCTTTCAACTTCTTGTCATTGCGTCTGCGCTTTCTGCACTCCCTCTCGTCCTCGCCATACTCTTTCTTCTTCATTGCTCCCCACAAACCATCCACCGCCCCTTTAGCTGCATCCCTCGCCACTGCTGCAACATCCCCAGACACAGACCCCTGCAAAGCAGCCAACAGATCTTTGCCACCTGGCACTTCACCATCAGCCAGCACATGATACTTCACATGCGCTGAAGCCCCTTTAGCTTCTCCCCCTGATGCTCCAGTGGCATCAGCAGCAGCATTTCCAGCAGGCTCCTCAGCAGCATGGGCAGCAGTAGGGGCCATGCCCAGGACTAGAACATGAGCAACAGCAGCAAGAGCTATCCGGGCGGCAGTGGCAGCAGCTGCCGCCTCAGCTTCTGGAGTCATAACACTGTCCTCGCTCGGAAGCGACTCTGCAGCTCCTGCTACAGTCCAGATCTTGCCATCCGGAGCGAAGGCAAGGCTGGTGGCTGGTACTCCATAGTTGAGCGTAATGCACTGCAACACAACAGCGTGGAGCAAAGGAGGCTGGTGTTCAATACGCAGAGTGTGACAGCAGAATGCGTGCACTCCACCACAAACCCTAATAGCAAGAAATGGATGATACAATTACAATCAACTGTGGATCGTGAAGTGAGAAGCAGAGTGGGAAGGATGCACAACCCACACACAGCATCACAGCAGAGGAACACACTAGCACACTCACTCCCCTCCAGACACACAACCGCCTTAATGAAAAGGCAGAGGGAGGAGGGGAATGAGCAAAGCAGCGTGCCCGTTTAACCATGAGCAAATGGGCGGCAAGCCGCGTCTGCTTCTATCTGCACGAGCCTCCCTCTGGACCTTGGCGACAGGCCCGGAGACCCTTCTTGCGAAAGGCCAACTGGACCTGCGCCGAGCCTGCAAGGGGTCGATTTGGCGCAGTTATGACTCGAAATCCTTCCATGGGTGCTGCTGGCTCTGCCCCAGAGGGGGAGAGGCGCAGGCAGCACGGATAGGCGCTCTCAAGGACTGCGCGTGAGGGCAGATTGATGCCTGTTGAGTGGACAGGCAACGCGTTTCCGCACATGGACGACCGACGGACAGACAGAAAGACAAGCGGACATGGAAGACGCATGCAGAAAGATAGACACGCAGAGATACAAACAGACAAGGAAGAGACTGAGGTTGAGAACACACCTGAGCGAGTTGAAGTGTGCGCGCGGCAGAGTCGAAGCGGAGCAGACAAACGCGTGGCGAGCTGGAGAAGAACGCAAGACGTGCAGGGAACAAAGGAAACAGGGGTGGTTGAGCGAAATGGGGGTTACCAGAGGAAGGGGAGGAAAGGAGGGATAAAGTACACGTGGAACGCGGGCAGCATTGAGCCAGTGAAGAAACTGGTGTTTTAGCGAGGAGGAAGCGGAGGTATGGAGGGGACGGGCACACGTGGAACGTGGACAGCGTTGATCTGGCGAAGAGACTCGTAAGTAGCGAGTCACTTCTAGAAAACGCGCATACAACGCACGCGGGCAGTCTCGCACAGCGCAGCACCTACCCAGCAACAGCTCCAGCGACCAAACAGCCACTTGGATCGACCGCCACTGCTACCAGCGACGAACCATCCGCTGTTGATCCTGCCTTCCCACCCCTGCTCCCTCCCGCGTCTTCTTCAGGATTTGCTACACCCTCGGTCTCCGCCGTGCCTCCCGCCTCTGCTTCCGCTTGTTCTCCGCGCGCACCCGCGGAGTCGACCGCCATGGGGGACGGCCCTTCCGCCTGCGCAGGCGTGGGCGGAGGCGGCATACGCAGCACCTGGAGGCAGCGGCCGTCTGACGGATCCCACAGGCGCACCTGCAGCAGCGGAGAGCCGGGGCTCGGGGAAGTCAGGAAGGCAGAAACGACCCGTCGAGAAATGCCGAAAATAGAGGGAGAGAGCAAAGGAGGAAGCACAGGAATGGAAAGCGAGAGCGCAGAAAGGAGAAGCGAGAGCGAGAAAGCACTGACCGTTCCGTCAGCCGCGGCGGAAAGAAGCAGCTGTTGCGACCCATCGGCGGCAGCAACGGCGCCATCAGTTTCGCAGTGCTTGGCTCGCGCAGGCTCGCAAACAAAGGTTAGTGCTGTCAGGAAACTGGCGAAGGGTACATTCAAGTGACGGATAGCAAAAAGAGGAAGAGAACAAGGAATTAAATCGACAAAACGATTCGGAAGGGGGCTATCGCAACGTATCAATGGCAATCTCGGAAAAGAACGGCGGAAAGAAAGTGCTAAAGCACTGGGGGTGGGCTTGAGCATGCTCGGATATCTGGCACGAACGCCATGGCACCGTACCCTGTATGTCCGAGGCAGAAGCTCTGGATCTCATGCGCGCCTTCTAGAGGATGGTCCGGAAATACCGACACCTGCAAAAGAGAGCCAGTAGAAAGTCAGACAATTACGCTGCTAGGTTCAATGTAAGAAGTGAAATGCTTTCGGTAGGTCTAACAAAAACAAAGGTGATTGCAGTGCAGCAACCCACGCAAGCTCAAACCAGCACTGGGTACCACAACGCACCTACACGAATCTTTCCGTCCCGATCGCCGGTAGCGATGAAGCGATTGCCGTGCGACACCGCCTGCGACAGTACGTCAGGAAGCAAAAGAGAAAACCACAAGACACCACACCTCTCAAAATAACTCTTCGATTTGAAAGGAAAATTGCAGAATAAAACACAGAAACTGAAGGGTCTAACAGATTCACGGATTTCCATGAAGAGAGATGTTAGTGTGATCTGCTCGAAAATGCGTGGACGCACGAGGCAGGTGATGATGCTGCAGCAGTGGCCCAGCAGCTGCTTCGCGGTCTCCACCGCTCGCTTGCCTTCGCCTCCTTCTCCGTTCTGCGCAGCGAGGTCGGTGTGCGACGGCACGGCGAGAGCGTGAACGACGCCGAACTTGTCGGCGAAGAGCAGCCAGCAACCGTCGCTGCTGAACCCCATGGCGCTCACTCGCTTGGACACTTTCCTGAACAAAGAAAGACGCATTCAAGCAGCACATAACAAACACAGATGGATTTCCTGATAGGATTCAATACAAACAAGGATTTTGATATCACCCGGAATAACGCACGCCGGGAATGAACGGTACAAAAGTGCTCCAAACCCGAATTTTGAAACTTCACTTACTCTTTATGGCAGCATATCCAGCTGTTTGACGGAGACTGCTCCTCCCTGACCCAGAGATTGACGATCTTGTCGTCGCCCGCCGTCGCCATGACACGGCCGGTGGGGTCCACGCAGATGGCTCGCACGGCGTCGGTATGAGCCACTGCCCGCTCCGAACCGTCGCTGCTCTTGAACGAGACTGCAGATCCCGAACTGCGTAAAAGAAAATGTGACCCTTTCAGAAATTAGCAACCTTGAGTCACTCCGAATTCGTCAACACAATACCATGGCCTGGACGCTATCAGAGTCGAAATTATCTGGTGCTCAAACTTGACATGATTTACCTAATATCGAAGCCTCGGACAGCGGCACCCGCGGTGGCGAAGACAGGCGAGCCTGAAGGGTGAAGCGCGAGGAGAGACGGAGCCAGCGAGCCCGTCTTCTTGCCTCCACCCCCTCCGTCGTCTTCGCCCGCTTCTTCAACACCCGCTTCCTCCTGCACCTCGCACGCGTCGCCTCCGGTACCCATCTTATCAAGCCTCTCCTCTTCACCTGTTGGCCGCTCGGCCTCCATTACGCTCGGATGGTGGCGCTCCTACCTAACACGGACCTGGTCTGACTACACAAGTCCTTCTGAAGGCCTCTATCCCTTGGAGGCTTGGAGTTGGTGTCTCGAGATTTGGTGGTCTAGGGACTGCTGGGGGGGTGAGAGGGTGGTTGCCTCGCATTATTGTGAATAAGCAGCCCATCAGTGTACGAAATGCTAAGACATCATTAACTGCAGTACTTTCAAATCTTGCCAAATGCATGAAGTTTTGCGATCAGAAGTTGATCGTAACCAGGATCACCTCAGGAAGGTTCGCACAAAGTAGGTGTGTTGGTGGTGGGCCCTTGACCTCGAATCAGAGTGAATGTAAAATAACCAAGATAATTAAAACATGCAAATACAAGCATTATAAATAGTGATAGAGGGGAATATCAAACGTCCTAGCTAACCATGTACTCTAAGGGGTACATTCTCTCATTCGAAATCAAACCCAACCGTGCGGCGCGTACAGTTACGAAACTGCTCCCGCCAATCCCCTTGCTCTTGCAGTTGCGCGATGGCGTTTGCTTCGACAGTCCATATCCATTCCAACTGTCTGCGTCGCTTCGAGTCAACTCTGACTGTTCGTTTCCAGCTTCGATACTGTGTGTTTCATTTGCTGCTGTCAGGAGTGCACAGTATTCTTTCTTAATTTACCATTTGTAACATGCAGTACCCAATGAAGCAACCTTCGTGCCACCATTTATAGCACTAGAGTTGGCACACTCGTGTTGGAAGTTGCCGTTGGAAGTTCGGGATGGAAGTTCGACATGAAAGATCGCGTTGAAGATTCGTGCAGGAAGTTCGCGCTAGGAGTTTGTGCTGGAAGTTCGTATTGGAAGTTCGCGTAAGAAGTTCGTTTGGGAAGTTCGCGTTGGAACTTGGAACTTCGCGCTGGAAGTTCGCACTGCAACTTTGCGTTGGAAGCTCGCGTTGGATGTTGGATTTGGATGTTCGCACTAGATGTTCGTGCTGGAAATCCGTGTTGGAAGTATGCGCTGGAAGTGTGCGTTGGAAGTTCGCTTGGAAGTCCGCGTTGGAAGTTCACATTGGATGTAGGATTCAGATGTTCGCTTTGGAAGTTATGGTAACAGGTGCGTTATGGTGCGTTATGCTAATACCGTATCCTCCCGGACATAAAACCTATCGAAATTGTACACCCCCGGGTAGCTTGTGCGGGGTGGGTGCAACTGTCCAACTGTCCAACTGTCCAACTGTCCAACTGTCCAACAGTCCAACAGTCCAACTGTCCAATTGTCCAACTGTCCAACTGTCCAACAGTCCAACAGTCCAACAGTCCAACAGTCCAACAGTCCAACAGTCCAACAGTCCAACAGTCCAACAGTCCAACAGTCCAACAGTCCAACAGTCCAACAGTCCAACAGTCCAACAGTCCAACAGTCCAACAGTCCAACTGTCCAACAGTCCAACAGTCCAACAGTCCAACAGTCCAACAGTCCAACAGTCCAACAGTCCAACAGTCCAACAGTCCAACTGTCCAACAGTCCAACAGTCCAACAGTCCAACAGTCCAACAGTCCAACAGTCCAACAGTCCAACAGTCCAACAGTCCAACAGTCCAACAGTCCAACAGTCCAACTGTCCAACAGTCCAACAGTCCAACAGTCCAACAGTCCAACTGTCCAACAGTCCAACTGTCCAACAGTCCAACAGTCCAACTGTCCAACAGTCCAACAGTCCAACAGTCCAACTGTCCAACTGTCCAACTGCCCAACTGTCCAACTGTCCAACTGTCCAGCTGTCCAACTGTCCAACAGTCCAGCTGTCCAACAATCAGCTGTCCAACAGTCCAACTGTCCAACTGTCCAACAGTCCAACTGTCCAACTGTCCAACAGTCCAACGGTCCAACAGTCCAACGGTCCAACTGTCCAACTGTCCAACTGTCCAGCTGTCCAACTGTCCAACTGTCCAACAGTCCAACTGTCCAACGGTCCAACTGTCCAACGGTCCAACTGTCCAACTGTCCAACAGTCCAACTGTCCAACAGTCCAACTGTCCAACAGTCCAACAGTCCAACAGTCCAACAGTCCAACAGTCCAACAGTCCAACAGTCCAACAGTCCAACTGTCCAACTGTCCAACAGTCCAACTGTCCAACTGTCCAACTGTCCAACTGTCCAACAGTCCAACAGTCCAACAGTCCAACAGTCCAACAGTCCAACAGTCCAACAGTCCAACAGTCCAACGGTCCAACAGTCCAACGGTCCAACCGTGCAACAGTCCAACCGTCCAACCGTCCAACCGTCCAACCGTCCAACCGTCCAACCGTCCAACCGTCCAACCGTCCAACCGTCCAACCGTCCAACCGTCCAACCGTCCAACCGTCCAACCGTCCAACCGTCCAACCGTCCAACCGTCCAACCGTCCAACCGTCCAACCGTCCAACCGTCCAACCGTCCAACCGTCCAACCGTCCAACCGTCCAACCGTCCAACCGTCCAACCGTCCAACCGTCCAACCGTCCAACCGTCCAACCGTCCAACCGTCCAACCGTCCAACCGTCCAACCGTCCAACCGTCCAACCGTCCAACCGTCCAACAGTCCAACAGTCCAACAGTCCAACATACCAGCAGTCCAACAGTCCAACATACCAGCAGTCCAACAGTCCAACAGTCCAACAGTCCAACTTACCAACAGTCCAACAGTCCAACTTACCAACAGTCCAACAGTCCAACATACCAGCAGTCCAACAGTCCAACAGTCCAACAGTCCAACAGTCCAACAGTCCAACATACCAACAGTCCAACAGTCCAACAGTCCAACAGTCCAACAGTCCAACAGTCCAACATACCAACAGTCCAACAGTCCAACAGTCCAACAGTCCAACTGTCCAACAGTCCCGTCCAACAGTCGAACCGTCCAACTGTCCAACAGTCGAACCGTCCAACCGTCCAACCGTCCAACCGTCCAACCGTCCAACCGTCCAACCGTCCAACCGTCCAACCGTCCAACCGTCCAACCGTCCAACCGTCCAACCGTCCAACCGTCCAACCGTCCAACCGTCCAACCGTCCAACCGTCCAACCGTCCAACCGTCCAACCGTCCAACAGTCCAACCGTCCAACCGTCCAACAGTCCAACCGTCCAACAGTCCAACCGTCCAACAGTCCAACAGTCCAACCGTCCAACAGTCCAACAGTCCAACCGTCCAACGGTCCAACAGTCCAACCGTCCAACGGTCCAACAGTCCAACAGTCCAACGGTCCAACGGTCCAACAGTCCAACGGTCCAACGGTCCAACAGTCCAACCGTCCAACAGTCCAACAGTCCAACGGTCCAACCGTCCAACGGTCCAACCGTCCAACGGTCCAACAGCCCAACGGTCCAACAGCCCAACAGTCCAACGGTCCAACGGTCCAACAGTCCAACAGTCCAACGGCCCAACAGCCCAACGGTCCAACGGTCCAACGGTCCAACGGTCCAACAGTCCAACGGTCCAACGGTCCAACCGTACGGTCCAACAGTCCAACAGTCCAACAGTCCAACAGTCCAACAGTCCAACAGTCCTACAGTCCAAAAGTCCAACTGTCCAACAGTCCAGCAGTCCAGCAGTCCAGCAGTCCAGCAGTCCAGCAGTCCAGCAGTCCAGCAGTCCAGCAGTCCAGCAGTCCAGCAGTCCAGCAGTCCAGCAGTCCAGCAGTCCAGCAGTCCAGCAGTCCAGCAGTCCAGCAGTCCAGCAGTCCAGCAGTCCAGCAGTCCAGCAGTCCAGCAGTCCAGCAGTCCAGCAGTCCAGCAGTCCAGCAGTCCAGCAGTCCAGCAGTCCAGCAGTCCAGCAGTCCAGCAGTCCAGCTGTCCAGCTGTATAGCAGTCCAACAGTCCAGCTGTCCAGCAGTCCAGCTGTCCAACAGTCCAGCAGTCCAGCAGTCCAGCAGTCCAGCAGTCCAGCAGTCCAGCAGTCCAGCAGTCCATCTGTCCAGCAGTCCAGCAGTCCAGCAGTCCAACTGTCCAGCTGTCCAACTGTCCAACAGTCCAACTGTCCAACAGTCCAACAGTCCAACAGTCCAACAGTCCAACTGTCCAACTGTCCAACAGTCCAACAGTCCAACAGTCCAACTGTCCAACTGTCCAACAGTCCAACAGTCCAACTGTCCAACAGTCCAACAGTCCAACAGTCCAACAGTCCAACAGTCCAACAGTCCAACAGTCCAACAGTCCAACAGTCCAACAGTCCAACAGTCCAACAGTCCAACAGTCCAACAGTCCAACAGTCCAACAGTCCAACAGTCCAACAGTCCAACAGTCCAACAGTCCAACAGTCCAACAGTCCAACAGTCCAACAGTCCAACAGTCCAACAGTCCAACAGTCCTACAGTCCAACCGTCCAACAGTCCAACGGTCCAACCGTCCAACCGTCCAACAGTCCAACCGTCCAACGGTCCAACAGTCCAACGGTCGAACCGTCCAACAGTCCAACGGTCCAACCGTCCAACGGTCCAACCGTCCAACAGTCCAACGGTCCAACGGTCCAACCGTCGAACCGTCCAACCGTCCAAGGGTCCAACCGTCCAACCGTCCAACCGTCCAACCGTCGAACCGTCCAACCGTCCAACGATCCAACGGTCCAACCGTCCAACCGTCCAACCGTCCAACCGTCCAACCGTCCAACCGTCCAACCGTCCAACCGTCCAACGGTCCAACCGTCCAACCGTCGAACCGTCCAACCGTCCAAGGGTCCAACCGTCCAACCGTCCAACCGTCCAACCGTCGAACCGTCCAACCGTCCAACGATCCAACGGTCCAACGGTCCAACGGTCCAACCGTCCAACCGTCGAACTGTCCAACCGTCCAACGGTCCAACAGTCCAACGGTCCAACGGTCCAACCGTCGAACCGTCGAACCGTCCAACAGTCCAATCGTCCAACGGTCCAACCGTCCAACCGTCCAACAGTCCAACCGTCCAACAGTCCAACCGTCCAACAGTCCAACAGTCCAACAGTCCAACAGTCCAACAGTCCAACAGTCCAACTGTC